AATGCCACCTGTGAAGTATTTGCTTGTTTATTATAAAGATAGGCAAAATGGTGAATTCACAGCAATATAATTTTTCTCCAGAAGGCTTAAAATGTAACCCTTTGCCCCATGTATATAGATAAATATTATTATAAGTGTGCTCTGCCAAAATATATCAGGCAGTTTTGATGGGTAATCCATACTAAGGTATATAAACATAATAAAAAGGGGGAGGCTGGAGCATTACCTGCATAGGCCAAATCAGTAAAATAAAAAATGGTATAGAGGTGGGGAACTATATTGAGAACTATTTTGGAGCCTGTGCAGTAGATCAAAAAACTATGCTCCAAGGAATCCACAATATGAAAATGTCATCATTTCTTATTGATCCAACATGCAGAGTGTGAAAGATAATACCGTAGGTGTATGTAAATGTATTACGGTCCCTATAGTGACGGGGCTTTACATTTGTTGGATAGAGAATGGTTAGGGACAAGCCAAGTCAGGGAAACCAGAAATCGGGGAAGCGAGGAACAATAGTCGAGTTAGGGATTACAGAATGGAGAATAGTTTGAATAGCTAAGATCAATATGCCAGAATATACACAGAAAATACAATGACTATTGGAAACTAGAATCAGAACCACAACAGGGCCTCTCCTGCCATTTAAGATAGCAGAATAAACCAGTGTTACATCATGATGACCAAGTGCTGAAGTGACATAAGTTGGTCATTGGTGATTCAAGTGTACATTAAAATAATGCATATTATCTAGGGGCCCAGAAATACAGTTAACCAAGGTTGCTAATGTATAGAGTGCTCATGTAAGAGTATGAGCATGTGTGTATGTGCTACCTTTTGTGGCCAAAAAGACATGATAGAGAACCAATACAGGAACTGTCCACTAAATTGACAACAAAAACAAAATAAATAAAATCTAATCATGGTAATTGATCTATACTTTAAGAGATAAGTTGTATTTTGCAGGGAATGGTACATTGTGAAATAAGCTGTGTTTACTTGCTACATAGTCAAAACCTCTGTCCCATTATATACCCGGTGTGTAAGAATATAAAAATTCAGCAGGAAGACTTAATATCATGTACTTTATTAGATATGCTAGGCTGCAAACCTCCCAGTTGATAAATATTTGCAAATACACATTTCTAGAGTGTGATGAAGAGTAGCACTGCATAATAAGAGGGAGATGATTTAAATTATTTGAGAATGTGTATGCACTGGACTCTGAAATCCTTGTTTAAATGAAATATCTTAACTTTATCCATCAGTACACTAGAGTGCCAAGTCAGAAAAATCCATGTTTGTCAAAGCAAGAGATTGTCTGTTTCAATAGATAGTGAGTTCAGAAATATGTTAGTCTGCCATAGAGCAGCATTTTAAAGGGGCAGTAAACCTAAATGAAATGCTTCACTGCCAAATCTATTTAAGTTCAGTGCAAATGTACTTTGAATGGTTCTATTTGGGATTTCATGTATGACATCAATGTAAAGTGCACATGAATTGAACTCTGACCGAAAGCTACCTCTAGACTCTGGATTGCTATTGCTATAAAAATCAACACAAGAGAATATAAAGCAATATACATTTAACACTCATTTAAGTGTATGCTGATGACAGGTTCACCTTAAAGCAAATATAGCACTAGTCTATAAAGTGTTCTATTGACAGAAAATGTATAGCATAAATACACTACACGGATAAACACAACCTTAACCCACAATAACGGTGATGAAGCTCACCTTTTTTATGAACATGTGACAACATGCAAGGAAAACTGTATTGAAGACAAACGACTGACACTTAAAGGAAGCTTTCAAGGTCCAAATGGCTTTTATTCAGTATATTTAAAATACCAAAGAAGACTGACAAACAGACTCTTCCATTATAGATTCCCGACTCCTATCGGTTTCAAAACACAAATCACCAAATAGTTTAGCACGTGGAGAATGTTGCCCATAGCTCCAACTATGGTCCTTTATATGATAATGCAGACATTATGGTCTTGATTTGTTATTGGTGAATACACTTTCCAGATAATATAATATATTTGGATTAACTTTTAAAGCAATTTATTTTCAACACAAGAAAATAACCAAAAATATATCCTATATAAAAAAATATCAAAATATTACAAAATTAAAACATTATTCATAATATTAAATCATTTTAGAAGTGTATCCAAAAATGATATATCATTTGGCTAGCATATCCAAATATATTAAATCAAGGCCTGTATAAAAGTCAAGAGATCTATAAGGAAATATTGATTTTCTTCTAATATTAGTCACCTATATCATCCAAGACATGCATTATCTTTACTTAGATGTGTTAGCTATTTCGAACAAAATAGGACATCACATGAAACAAGGCCTTTTAATGTAGATTTGCAGATGTTCACTTATATGAGATTGAGGGTAAAATCTCTTGCGCGCATTTTTATTTGTTGGCTCTTATAAGGTTTATCTGATTGTAATATCACTAATGCATGATTACTCATAATAGCATTTCTAGATAAAACTGCACTCCCCAAGTAATTTCTTTGCAATGTATGCTTCTATTTAAGTAAATGTTATTTTAAACATCTGTTAATTTTGCTTGTTTTACACCTAGATTTGGCATTTTAGGATGCAATTTTAAATGCAGAAGTTTGAGTGTGTGTAGCAGAGGTCTATTGTTGATAACAGCAATATTAACATGTTCTAAAGAAGTAAAAATCACTTTGAAGAGCAGTTGTTTCATTCCTCTGAAGTAGCCAGCAGGATATAACATGAAAAAAGATTGATCTCAGCTTGCGGCAATTTGCGAGCAAAAATGATTTCAACCTGCAGTAGCTTACATTTCCTATTCTGACATCAAACTTCTGTCAGATGCACAGATGTGTTTCATTGCAGGTAATCCCCCATCAAAACCCTTGTAGGTGATAACAGATAGTAATAGATGCGTCCTGCACATTTTAAATGTTTATTTTATCACCACAAGCCAAAGAAAGCTGAGACATCGCACAGAAGTCCAAACCTTATATATTCTAAATATTCTTTCAATAAATATATTGTACAGGAAAATTAGAGAACGTTGATACTATTTGTTAATGGAATACACATTTGTAATTTCATCTTTGGCTAAAAGAAAACATTAGGTATGATGTTGAGGTGTGAATGCAATATTATGTTTGCTACATATTACAGCATCATGAGAAATATGATAATCAGGATTTATTAACGTAAGAGGAAACTGAGACATGACAAAGGATTTACAAATTGTAGGCTAAGTGGAAAAAAAAATCCAGTTCAGCTAGATTTCTAGCTCTACTAGCTTAACCTAAAGTTTACAATTTCCTTTTTACAAATTCCTAATTTAGTGACTGCACCTCTCTGTGATGAGAATTAGCATGGAAACATCTTTTTAACAATTACCCAATTCTTAGCTTATGAACTTAATACTAGAGAAAGGGCTCTTAAAGCACAGTTACAAGTATGTTGAATGGGGGTTAAAAACAATGACCTCAATTAGATTCTAGCATCAATAACCAATCAATGCTTTGACGTTTGTTGGTATAACATAAAACTTATCAAATCGATCATAATCCAAGTTTCACAAACCTTTTTTGCCTGTAACCCTTGCTGAAGTCAGAAAATGTTATGTTCTTTTGCTGATTATACAAAGATTTGCAACAGGGTTTATGTTCCAGGAGGGATAAGTGAAAAGGCAAATGATTTAGGTAAACTGGAAAAATGGTCAGAGATGTCTGTGGCAACTGATGTTTAGTGAAGATAAGTGCAAGATAATGCATCTTGGGTGTAAAAACCCAAAGGCAGAGTATAGAATATTTTATACAGTCCAAACCTCAACATCTGAGGAAAGAGATTTATGGGTAATTATCTCAGATGACTTAAAGATAGGCAGACAATGGAGCAGCAGGATATTGTAACATAATGCTTGGTTGTTTTGGGAGCTGTAATAGCAGTTGAAAGAGGAAAGTGCTCATACCATTGTACAGAGCACTAGTGAGACCTCACTTGGAGTATTGTACTCAGTAGTGGAGCCCTTATCTCCAGAAGGATATTGATACTTCAGAGAGAGTTCAGAAAAGGGCTACAAAGGTTCATAGAATGCAGGGTAAAACTTACCAGGAAAGGTCAAAGGATCTTAACATGTATAGCTAGGAGAAAAGATGAGATAGAGGGGATATGATAGAAACATTGAAATACATAAAGGGAACAAACACAGTAAAGACAGACTATATTTATATTTAAAAGAAGAAAAACTACCACAACGAGAGGACATCGTTTTAAATTAGAGGTACAAAGGTTTAAAAATAATATCCGGAAGTATTACACAGTGAGGGAGTGTAAGCAATGTGTGGGATAGGCATAAGGATATCATAGATATAAGATATGGTCACAGACTAATGAAAGTATTTTAAAAATTGGGCAGACTAGATGGGCCAAATGGATCTTATCACATATTAATATTCTTACCATTCACATTGGAGATTACCACAAATGCATTATGTAATACAGGATGATTTGTTTATAAATAACAACCTTTGTATACAAATTAATTGCAACACACAATACTTCATATATTTTGAACACACAATTCTTTGAGCTTTAAGTATAAAAAAGAATGGCAGGCAAAAATCAAAAGTAGATATTTTGGCATGTTATTCCTGTGTCTCAAGGCAAGTGTATAATGACATCATGGCGCTGAACTAAAATATTTTACTTTGAGCTCTATAATGTTATTCAGAAGTACACGACTACTATATGCTATCTTTGTAATGTCTATCAAAGCCTTACTTTTGTGTTTTGAATGGCATAGTACTTGACAGCTTTTTAAGCAAGACTGCTTAGAAAGTGCTCTAAGCACTCATGTGAAGAAAAAAAAAGTAAAGTACACTTTACTAAAGAAATGTAAACAGCATGCATCACAATTTATCCATTTTAGTTCTTGTGAAAAATGCACTTCAAGCTTTAAAACTGTAAATTTTTTTTTTGCAGACCTCAACTGCTACTGTTAATGTACAGGTAACGGATGTGAATGACAATGACCCCGTGTTTGATCTTTACTTGCCACGAAATCTTTCAGTCCAAGAGGAAGAAGTAAATGCTTTTGTGGGTCAAGTTAGGGTGAGTGCTCATCATTTAAATGCTGTACTTGTTGTATTAATATATTGTGTGTCCTTGTGAGAGCTCCCATAAACATGTGTTTCTTAATAAATGCAGTATCTTTAGATAAAGTAATATATGGTATGTATACCCAAGAAGTGTTGTTGTTATTATTGACTTATTGCACCAACTGCAACATTTTATTATATTTAAAGATTGAGTGGTATATAAGAATGCTTCCTATTGTGCTACTGTTCATCCTTATTCAAGGAAATCCACATTGAAAATACAAATTTCACCAATATTAAAGTATATTCTATAGCATTCCCATAATTACGTGCAAGGAATATAATAACTTTAAATGGGTCAGCCACCCCCTAATGTTTCATGATTTTAAGAATATTCATCCTGTATGGATGTTGGATTATCTTTTCCAAATAATGTATACAATTCCATTGTATGTCTTGGTTCTCAAGAAGTAACATTGAAAATAAATGTGTGCATTTGGGACTGTTGAGCAAATATGGATAAAGCAGCACCCAAAATTTCCACTTTCCAACTAGCAGCAACTAGTGGAAATTATTTTCTGGTGAGTGAGTAGAAATTCAACCCTGGTGAGCATGCAATGGACCCTGCAGCAGTTGCAGATAAATTTGAGGCTGTTTAGTAGCCTACGATATTTTGAGTATTGGCTATAAGATCTACCACTCAAAGCACAACAAGGTACATCTCTGAAATAAATAGCCCTTTATTAATAATTGAAAAATCCTGCAACGGGAATAGAATAGACCTGTCTCATTGTGTTATCTGTCCCTTCTCCTCTGCAACCAGAGACCACCACCACCATGATTCAGGGTAAGGTCTTGCACTAAACCCCCTGGTCAATAAGATGTGCTCTGTTTACATCCTCTGCTTACTCCTTCTTTTAGGAAGGTGATTTTTCTGACATCTCCATTAATAGTGTCTTTGCAAAGATACTTATGGCTCACTGGTCAGTTCTGTCAAAGTGCACAGATCCTTGGATTCTTTTTAGTATGGTGTGTAATTAAAAGATATATCACTCCTGTTTATGGTGGCGAGTCTTTCCAAATATGCTACAAAGAGCCGAATAGTTAGCATCCAAGCACACAACTTTAAACTTATGGTGACACAACCTAAATAGTATAATAGTGCAAGATAACATTTTATTATGGTTTTACATTTCATACTTTTCACTTCACAAAAGTGTGGGCAGGGGATCAAGAGAACAATTAATAAAACTTAGTACACCTTGGAATACAGATAAATGCTAATTCTCTGGCTTAAACATTAAACATTCAGATATTGCCAATAATATTCTTACAGCAATGGAAATAGAGAAGGTCTTACTGCCAGAGAGAGATTCCGTTACAGTGCTCTAAAATGTAGAATTTATTCATATTATCAAAGAAACTGCTGAATAAAATGTAACAAATCCAAAATAACACTTATGGTTTAATTTTAAATGCATTCTTTGCTGTGTTCAAATAAATAAGCAAAGCTACTATAATGGAGAAAGCTTCTTCCACCACACTGTCTGAAGTTTACTACATTCAACAGGGTAGGAGGTGAGTATATATCACCATGCCATTTATTTAACTTAATTCTCTAGAAGGCAATAACTTTTTTCATGGAAAAAAAATGATTTATCTATGTATCACATGCACCGCTAGTTCTTTTTTTTTTTTTTCTAGTATTGTAAATTATTTGAAACAGTTTGATTTAGATTTTTTCTTTCCTCTTTTAAGTATACATTTGTTTTGGAAAGCTGTACCTCTAAAATGCTATTGACTAAGATAATTAAATGGACACTTTTTGGGGGGTACAAATATGTAATTAAACATGTAAAAAATATATATTTTTTTTTCAATATCTTTAAAATTTAAAGATTTCTAGAGTATTTTTTATCTATACCCGTGGTAGGTAAAGTTGGAAAGAATATTTTGAGCTTGCTGTGACAAAAGCTAAAACAAATGGATAATCTGTTAAAAAGCTTTGTATGATACAGTCAAACCATAACAGCAAATCCCATAGAAAATATTATTTTGTGTGCTGCTGCTGCATTTCCAAATTTAAGCAGTTTAAATGATAGATTGTGTTTTATAACCACCATGTACTATGTACAGAGTAGGGGAAACCGCACGCAAAAAAAAAAAAAAACAACCTATAAAGATGATGTATAAGAGGCAGCAAACCTGAAGTAGGGCTCCCTCTAGGCCCTACTGACAAATAGAGCAGATACAATACAATGAGAAAGGTTGTGCCAAGTCACAATGTAAATAGATACTGGGAAAAAATTCCAGTATCTCCACAGATTGTTGATTATCTTCCTGGCAAGTTATGCACTAGAACTTTCTTTCTGCTATTCTATTTGGATTTTTGATTATCATCACTGTTGTGGACTCTTGAGAGATTTCTTATATATTTTTTTATATATTTTTATATATTTTTTTTTATATATTTTTATATATTTGTTTTTATATATTTTTATATATTTGCCATTTTTTTCCACTATCTATTTACATAGTTTTGTTACTTGGCGCAACCTTTCACCATGTATTATATGACTAAAATAATAAAGGTTACCATGTTGTTTTATCTATCTATATAACATGAAACTACTTTTGAAAGGAGTGCTATTACCTTTACCCAATATGTGCCAAAGGATGTTTGCTCCAATTGTAATCACATTTAGACAATTCATACTGAATGCATCCCTCTATTTCTCGCTCTCCTGATGTGAAATGTGACATGAGAAATAATCAGTTAAAATATTTAAAGCCTCAATAAAGTATATGATATGTGGTGGTGTATAGAGCCAAAAAGATTAGAATTGTATTGATGTCCCAATATTTATGGACCTGACTGTATTTACAAGTTTTTTTACGGTTCTGTACTTTGATCTTTGTCTTTTTATATATATATTAAGTATTTACTATATTTGATAGGATACTTACCTCATTTCTAGATTGACACTTACCCACATTGTGTGGATTAAGTGCGCGTTTGTATATTGGTATTTGCAAAATAGGGTTAAGCCCTTATACACACCTGGAAAGTCTAACTGGTGTTTCAGGTTCCAGAAAGCAGTTTTCCTGGAGACTGGAAGTTTTCTCTGTCTCTGTTTTTGATGCATTTGCAAGTACTGTTTCATTTGTGAGATGGTAAGAGGTAGTTAGAAAAGATTTCAGGTACCCGAAAAGCAATACATCCAAAGTCCAGGATGACTTAGAACTTGTGGAACTTGTGTATCAGTTACAGGAGAAGGGGGGATTAAGGTGCAGATGCCTGGAAAATTAATAGACTAATGTGAAGATCTTAACGTAAATGTAAGTTAAAAGCTCAAGTAACATATATTTAAACAATATGCATATGTAATGCAAGTAATAACTGCAATGCCATTTTTTAAAATGTTGTGAATTAATTACTTGCAGTGTCAAGTTTTGTTTGTTTACTCTATTCTTTTTCTGCAACATTTAAACATTCAGAATTGGTAATTGTAATAAGAATGTCGTGTGTTGTAGTTGCTGGAAAGAAGATAATGATTTTTAAAAGAACAGAAGCTGTGTGGAAAGACAAATTGGATAGGTTTCAAGTTCTTTTTTAATTTTACGTTCGTGTTCAATCTGTACAATAAAAATGAATGAGATTCCAAGCTGTTCTAATTTCATAGCCAGTTTACCAAGACTGCACAACTCTTAAAAATGAAAACATGAATAGAAATTCTAATATGACTAAATAACAATAAGAACAATGATAATAAAGTGTGAAAATGTGTACACAACAAAGAATAGCAAACTACGTGATGCACAAAGAGACAAGCCATACGCTGTGTATTATTATTTCTGTAACAGAGCTAACTGGTCTATTACTATTTTATGGAACATCTGTCTCTTTCGGCATTTGTGCTCACTTTTTTTAGGTCTCCAGGGTTTCCACTCCTCAATCCCTTTAAATCCTTTGTTGGTCGGGGGCTCATTGCCATAAAACATAATCATATTTTTAATTTCAAAATGCAATAAGAATTACTTACAATTAGCAGTGCAGTGTGCAAACAAAACTGTGCAAAACAAACAATGGCACACAGTGATGACATCAGCATAAATCATATCAATATACCAATAGAATATTGCTAAAAATAAATAAATAATATCTACACATAATAAACAACTTTAGTAAATAATTTAAACAGAAAAAAAGAGCAAGAAAAATAAAATAGAAAAGCTAATTGATGACATCACACGTCACACACAATCGTGATGACGCAATCAAAGATAAAGACCGAATGTATTGTAATAGATAAATGAAATAATAATCCTGCTAAGCACTAAAAGAAGGTACCAGAGACCTATTATTAATGTCAAAATGAGTATAGTATGCATGGAAAAACAGTGAAAAGTGAAATTATGCAATTGCAACACTGAGTGACATGGCATTAAATCCACATTTACTGTTCTATTACTCAAAAGATATCAAGAAAATTGCTCCCTATTAAGGTTCACTGAAGGCAAAGATAGAAAGACTTAAAAGCAGAAAAGCCTTATAATAGTAAATGGATAATAGCAATGTCAGTCATGTGACTGAAACTCTGATCATGTGACCAACATCGAAACCCACTTTAACAAAGTGGAATCAAGAAAAGGAGATAAAACGGAAAAAAACAAGGAATGCAATATGAATTAACCCCTTAAGGACGGAGCCAAATGTACATGTTGTGAACAAAACAAAACGTAAACAAAACCTGGCATTTGCGCTACATGTCTGTCCAACCGTAATACACCTCTTTCATAGTAAATGCACCCACCCTTATTATATATCATTTTATTCAGGGGAAACAGGGCTTTCATTTAATATCAAATATTTAGCTATGAAACATAATTTAATATGAAAAAAATGGGAGAAAATAAGATTTTTTTAGTTCTACATGACATTTTAACTGTCAATGTCATAATACTGTTTGCTTTTACTGCAATAAAATACACATATTTGTATTCAGTAAAGTCTCACGTGTAAGACAGTACCCCCTATGTACAGGTTTTATGGCGTTTTGGGAAGTTACAGGGTCAAATATAGTACGTTACATTTGAAATTGAAATTCGCCAGATTGGTTACGTTGCCTTTGAGACTGTATAGTAGCTCGGGAATGAAATTTACACCCATAATGGCATACCATTTGCAATAGTAGACAAACCAAGGTATTGCAAATGGGGTATGTCCAGTCTTTTTTAGTAGCCATTTGGTCACAAACACTGGCCAAAGTTAGCATTAGTATTTGTTTGTGTGTGAAAAATGCAAAAAACGCCAATTTTGCCCAGTGTTTGTGACTAAGTGGCTACTAAAAAAGACTGGACATACCCTGTTTGCAATACCTTGGGTTGTCTACTATTGCAAATGGTATGCCATCATAGGGGTAATTTTCATTCTTGGGCTACCATAGGGTCTCAAAGGCAACGTAACCAATCTGGCGAATTTTAATGTGAAAAAATGAAACGCAAGCCTTATATTTGACGCTGTAACTTTTGAAAACACCATAAAACCTGTACATGAGGGGTACTGTTGTACTCGGGAGACTTCGCTGAACACAAATATTTGTGTTTCAAAACAGTAAAAAGTATCACAGCAATAATATTGTCCGTGTAATGCTGTTTGTGCGTGAAAAATGCAAAAAACTTCACTTTTACTGGCGATATCATCGTTGTAATACATTTTACTGTTTTGAAACACTAATATTTGTGTTCAGCGAAGTCTACCGAGTAGAAAAGTACCCCCCATGTACAGGTTGTATGGTGTCTCGGAAAGTTATAGGGTTAAATATAGTGCTAGCAAATTAAATTCCCTTTACTTTCGGCATGGGTTGTCAGGCAGGTCCTGCTAATTGTAATTAATTAAAATATAAATATATATGTAGAATTAATATATGTATATATATACGTATGTGTATATATATATGTATATATCTATATAATTTTTAAAAAATATTTTTATTTATATATAGGTATATATATAGTGATATATACGTATATATTTTTGTATATAGATATATATATATATATATATATATATTATTTTGTTCTACGTGTATTTTGATATATATATATATATATATATATATATTAATTTCACAATACAGTTAGAACAAAATAACACACATCTATATATTTTTTAATTATTTTTTTTTAATTATTTTTTTAATTTTATTTTTTAACGTATTTACATTTAATTTTTTTTTATATTATATATAAATATATATATAACAATAATTATAAATATATTTAATCAGTATCAGTCTATGTGTAATTTGATATTAATATATATATATATATATATATATAATTATATATATATTAATAGTAAAATACACCTAGACGGTGTACATGTGTGTATGTATATATATATATATATATATACTTAGATCATATATATATAATATATATATATGATCTAAGTATATATATATTTTTTACACTAATAAATTGAATTTTATTTTTATTTTCAGCCAGCAGGGGGACCACCTGTCATTACAGGCAGCCCCCCTGCTGGCAATACAGAAGCCAGCTATCCCCGGCCATGTGATTGTGAGGTCCTCGCAAGGACCCCACTCTCACATGGCCGGGGGGCTTCGTGGAGGACGGAAGTGCCGCGGGGGGCTCCCTGGGAGTCCCCCCCCACCGCGATCGCCGGCGTGGGACCGCCGGCGACCGGGTAAGTACCAAAAGACCGGAGGGCATACTATTACGCCCGGCGGTGTTTAGAGCCGCCTATAATAGGGCGTAAAAGGGGTTAAAGCTGAAGGGGTTAAAGCTTAAGGAAGATCATAGGATAATATAGAAGTGAATAGAAAGGGAAAAAAGAAAAGACAAACAGGTTGCCAATCTCTCAAAAGTGAATTGTCATCATTTAGCTTTTCTGTTTTATTTAAACTATTTAATAAAGTTGTCTTTTCATGGGTATATATTCCTTTTTTTAACTTTCTATGATGTATGCTTACGATTGGTGTGTTCATATGTCCTATGTTGATGATGTCATCACTGTGTGCCATTGTTTGTTTTACACACATTTGTTTGCATATCACTTGAATGTTTTTTGCAAAATAAATAAACAATGGCCGAGCACTCTGTATTAGTAAATATGTAAGGTTTACTATTTTATATATTTACGGTGAGCTCACCTCCAGCCACTAACTATGCAATCCAAGAAGAGACACACTCAGGGTTTTGTGAATCAATAAAGTGATGCTGCTTTTGTTCAGTGGATAGTTATAGAATAAAGTCTATGTTTCAGTCCTTTAGAGAGACTTGATAAGAGTCCCCTCTTTCACTGAGCCTTTGATATCTTACTGGGGAAGTGCTCTATGCCAGATGACCAAATTTAGGAACTATTAAATAGAAGGTGAAAGTAGGAAAAAATTAGCACTTGGATTGTACAACATACACTATCTATGACCAGATACAAATGCAATGCCAACATCCAACAAAAATACCCCACAACTTTCAATTCCAGTATTTTTTTTTAGAAGAAGATATTAATTTATTCACTTCTAGCAAAATGAGTTTCATGTTTACATTTCCATATTACTAACTTACACACCTCACATTCCTATTACTAGAAAGTTTTCTACTAATTTAATTGTATAGTTTCCTTATTGAGGCACAATCTACATAATTTGAATGCCAGTCACAGAAGTAAACAATGTTCAATTTAGCAATAACCGTGTTGGAAGTTATCATAAAGAAAAGTACATTCATACAATAAATATCCTGAAATACGTCCTGCACAGAAATAGAAAAGCACTAATTATTGCCTCTCCAGGGCTGCACCATTGCTATGGAACTGTGTATCCTGCTCCAATAGGCTCTCACCCAGTCTCCATTCCTTCACAAAATTATTCAATGGTGGAAAGCATATCAATTACATTTTTAATAGCTTTCCATCCAATACCTTGGTAACCCACCCTGCTTCCTCTCCTGCAACTATAATTCAGATAGAAAACCTAAGTCTTCATCGAAAACTATTCTATAAACCTACTTTCCCTGTACATCTAGCATATTAAACTCAAATAAACAAGATTTAAGTTTATGTGGGCCACAAAAAAAAAAACTTCAAATTTCATAGAATTATAGGCTTGTTTTGAAAAAGACAGTGTATATATATATATAAAAAAAAAAAAGAACAACAATAAAATTAATGTTTTCTTTCTGACACTTGGCACCTTTTCTCTGCTACTATCTTTCCTACTTCGGGGGAAATCTTGCTCGCAGTAATCACTTTCAAAGCTGACCCAAGGTGAATGTTAATAAATCTGGCAGGAGACTTATTTCCTTTCATAAGTTTAAATAACTGCTCACACCAATAAGTACTTTCAAATCTGGAAATAATTTCATATGAAAATGTTCGAGTATTTTCAAACCTGGCTGGCAGATATTTGTAAAATTCAGGTACACCAACTTCACTGAATTTTGCCTTCAAATCTGAATAACACTGGATCTCAAGTACCTCCATTTGATAGGTACTGATTCTATATTTATTGAGAATAAAAAACCTTGTCTTCCAAAGATTTAAATCCTTGTTGTAAATCCAGTTCTAAGGCTTAAATTTTTTTCTGTGAATTTTTGATATGATGCAGTTTCACCTAAACTTGATTTGTCAAATTGGAAAGTACATTAAATCTTCATCTTTCAACTGCTCTTCCCAAAGTACTAACCTACCCTTGAATGCTTTAACTTGGTCACAGATGTTTGTAATGATCTGATCTATTCCTTGCAGTTTTAAATTTAAATTGTACAAGTGTTTTGTTATACCAAACTATAAAAGATAAATCTTGAAATCACAATGGATCAGAAAACAAGCTTGTGTCTTGATTTTTAGTTATTAAAAATTGTCATATTTCTTCTTTCAAGTTTCAGAATTGTTTAAGAACCTTGAAGCAGGTTAGCATACCTTGGTATAGTAGGAAAAACTGGATTATTCTCTTTCTATATCACTTAAGAAAGCAGAGAACTGTTGCAGATTTAAGCCTCGAGATCTTATGAAATTGATAATTTATTTGATAGATGTCAACACATTTTCCATGTTTATTACCTTTTTGCATAATACTTCTTTATGTATAATGCAATATGTATGATGAATTTTGGACCCATCATAAATTTCACTTTGTGAAATTTATGACACAAAACCATTGGTTTTTCCAAGTAATTGAAGGAACTCCATCTGTAACTCCAGAAGTTAATTTTGACAGAAGTAGATTGTATTTTTGATGAAGTTCATAAACACTTTTAAATATATCTTGTCCTGTAGTAGTGCCATGCATCAGTACTAGTTCCAATACTTCCTCAAAAATATTGAAAATCCATGTCGCAAGCACAAAGAAACACAGCTATTTGAGCTACCCCCCGAATGTCCATACTCTCATCACAGGCAATTGAAAAAGCTTTGAAACTAGATGACTTTGCTTTGATCTGATCACTTAAACTGCTGGCCAAATCAGTAACTATTTCTGCAACTATATTTTGAGATTACTTGAAAAGCCTTCACACTTCCAGGACAAACAATTTCTGCAGCTTTTATTAGACATTTCTTGATGAAATCACCTTTGGAAAAAGGTTTTGAGTGTTTACCTATCTACTCCAACAAGACATAGCTTGCATGCACCGCTATTTCACTTTCTTGTGTGATATTTTAGTAAACATGAACTGTTGTTTTTTCAGTCCCAATTTGGTCTTTCAACTTCTCATTATTAATTTGTAATTCTCATATTTTGTTTTATGTTGTTCATAGTGTCTTTAACGGTACCCCGGCATAAAAGAGGTTAAAAGCCGTTTAGGAGATATTCCCTTCCAGATATACAGGCAGCTACTGTAGACACCAATCCACAGAACCAGAGAAGCATATGAATGCTCTCAAACATACGAATGCTGTAAACAGTTGAATAGGAAAAACCATACGAAAGGTTTACACTCCTAGCAGTCGAACTGGAACAGCATACAAAAAAACCCCCCCAGAACGAGACAAGGCTCTGTATTGAGGGTCAAAACAGGAACAGACAGAGCAGTGGGTTTATTGTTCTTATATACACATACTTACACTTTACTACCACCCCAAGGGTTTTGTAAAACAACCAATAAACACGTACAATACACTCAGGCACTCCCACACAAAATCCTCCCCTCTGCCTGTGATACAATTAGCTTACACAATGGGTTAATGTAATTATCACAAGCAGAGAAATAGTTTTTCCACATTATTCATAACTTTAAAAGTATGCATCACATTCACATAAATCACATCCAATTACATTTTCAGAATCAGCATACTCCAAATACAAACATATGTCAAAATCATACAAATTGGTCCAGTGGGTCAAAAGTTAGATCAAAGTCCTTTGTGACCAAATAAAGCATGGCTTTTCTGCCCAAAACCTGTTCCACAGAGTCTTCTATCCTGGAGATAATTGGGAAGTAATCCAATTATCTCCAAGGACAGAGGCAAAACTCAATTAGCCACATGGTAGCAAAAGACAATAAAATACATAAAAATATATAACTGTGCAGCTATTGCATAAAACAGGTACATATCCCCAGATAGCTTAGATCTGAGCGCACATTATTACCGAATGGCGCTCAGATCACATACATACAGTTAAATTGCCATGGAGCCAAAGTCTTTCACATAGTCTTTTGTTATATGAATGGGCTCTCCATGGCATAGCTATCTGGGGTATCACTGTTCAAATAGGACAAGTACCGAATGACCCGGCTTTCGTGTCTTTGCAGGGGAAAATCAAGCGTTTCAATATGGGGCCATAGTCTAAAGGGAGCAGGCAGGCAACCAGGCCCCTCCAATGCACAGTGGCGAGATTGGTCAATGTTATATAACTTTGGTACACCAATAGCATTATAACAGATCAAGCAGATTATTTTATCTTTTACTTCACAGCAAATTTTTTTAATTCTCACATTTCTTGGAAATTTCAATGTTCGCAAGCAATTTTTTGTTTAGTTTTGCTACCACTTGATCTCGATAAAGACATACTGAATACAACGGGCTGAAATAAATGAGAAATCGTTAACACAAAATAATACAATATCTATATTTATCTATATTTTTTTTCTTGAATATTAACTTACCAGCCACAGAATAACTGCACAAATTCATAAGTGTAACGTAAATAAACCATTTTTTTTTTTTTTGTTCTCCGTAAGGGAAGTACTTCCTGTTAGGTACATGAAGAAAGTCAGTACAATACTAACAGCATGGTAGGTATTATTAGCTTCTAAATATTTGCCGCTAGTATTAGTGGGGGGAAATGGTGTCCCTGTGCATAAGGTCACTACATAGATGCAACATGACTATAGTAATCGGTCATTGGCGAACGTTGTGGTTTGTTAATAATAATTGCCGGTATGTATAATTATTAATTGTAAAAATTAGACTACAAAAATTTTATTAAAACATTTGTTACATACCGTTATATTGACTGGGCTGCAAAAATATTTATTGTGGGCCACGATTTTGACATGCTTGCTGTACATAAAAAATCCTATCACTTTACTCCACTCCCACTTTTTGAGCAGGGACCTCAACACCCTCTGTTTCTGTGCTTCCAACTGGTCTTGTTACAAATACTTGTCTGTTAGTCCACTCATTGAACAGCGCTGCAGAATGTATTGGTGTTTTATAAATATTAATCATCATATGTGGTATAAATTGAATTCACTTCTTTGTAGGTGAAGGTTAAACCTCCCTCAGCAGTGTGCAGCATATTGTCATTTCACATTTATACAGAGAGAACCTACACCATCCACATATAGTGGGGTCATACTACTCCACTCTATACTCTAGGAGCCATTGCTGGCTCCAGAAAGTGTATATCTACTTATTTGCTTTCAGAATATCTTATGTTGAACATACTACACCATATTATTTTATTTTGTTCTCCCTCTGTCAATGAGACCTACCACCATACTCGACTAACCATTTGCTATACAAGAGCTATACTATATGCATATGCAAGGATCATACCGCTCAGGTGCAAAAGTTGGGGCAACATTATTGCTCCATAAAAGTGTAAGTGTACCTCTTTAATTTTTATCTTCCAAATACCAAAAACATACTACATTATCAGTCCCTGTATTCTCAGTTGTTTTTTCCATTCCATAAACCAAAGGACACACCTAACCCTAACTTTTTACCACATATGTAAAAAATTGTTCCTTAATATCTATAAATATTTTGACATAAAATACAACTGCTTCATATTGAGATATATTTTATTTTATTTACATTATAATTAATATACAATATGTGTTAGGCTAAGTATTTTTTAATACAAAATAACATACCCATTTTTGACTAGCTTAAATAAAACACACATTTCTGAGTCACTGGGTGAATAAATGATTTGGGAATTAGAATGAGTTTGAATCAAATGGGATATTTTAACAAGGTGATCCATGCAGTTGACAGTCTTCATACCATATGAGCAATATGATAGTCATACATTTTTCATTGAATCCATTGCTGAGCTAAAGCATGCTTAATTATTTAGTAGTCAATATATGTAGACAAATCACAAAAAATGTTGACATACGACTTGCTAGGACACATTGCTAATATATATATTAAAGGGGCACTATAGGCAGCCAGAACACTAAAGTTCATTGAATTAGTCTAGGTGCATAGTCCCAGGTCCCTCTGCTGCGCATGCACATTAGGTCTCTCCCATCGATGGAGCACAAACCAGCACAAAGGGACATCGGTGCTGGACTCAGGTAAGTGACTATGGGGAAGGGGGGCTCAGGGGAGGCACCATAGGTAGTGCCAGGATAACAGAATGTTTTGCATTGAAGAATTCATATGTTTATTTCCTGTCAAACTAAGAAAGAGAAGAAGATTATTACAAGAAAAGTGTTCCTTTTCAGGAGTATGAATAGAAGTTATTTCTTTCTTTATTGCTCCACCATTTAGCATTTTTGTTATTTTACCTTAAATATTTACACTAAATGGATGCATGATACCACAGTCCAAAACATGTTTTCTTTAGTTGAAAGTTCCAATTGAAGAAGCCCTTTTAAAATAGCAAAAACGCATTTTGGACTGTGGTATCATTGGACTCTCCTTGGACTACCTCTTTTTTGGGGACACGTCTCACAGTGATATTTTAAATGTTTACCTTTATATTTAACTTTAAGCAAATTATTATTATTATTATTATTGCCATTCATATAGCGCCAGCAGATTCCGTAGTGCTTTACAATATTATGAGAGGGGGATTTAACTTTAAATTGGATAATTATAAGAAAACCTACAGGAACAATAGTTTGAAGAGGAGCCTGCTGAAATAAGCTTACACTCTATAGGAAGTGGGGTATAAGACACATTAGGACAGGTAATAGCAATCAAATAAGGTGGGAGTGAAGCAGAGCTTGAGAAGAGAGTAGAGTGCTGCCTTTTAGGAGAGAGCAAGAGACAGGTATGTAAGGTAGAGGTTACTCTGGTAGGCCATAAGCTTTCCTAAAGAGATGGATTTTAAGGCACTTCTTAAACAATTGAAGACTAGGGAAGAGTCTGATGGTGGTAGGCAGGCTATTCCATAGGAAGGGAGAAGTCCTGCAAGCATGAGGTGGCTGTACTGGTGCGAGCAGCGGACAGGAGAAGATCACGGGTAGAGCGGAGAGACCAAGAACGGACAAACCTATGGATCTGTGAAGAGATATGAGGGGCTAGAATTGTTCAGTGCTTTATAGGTATGGGTTAGCACTTTGAATTGACAGCTGTAGGATACAATAAGTCAATGTAAGGACTGACAGAGGGATTTGTTAAAACTCCTGAATATATTACTTTTAGATGGGCATTTAATCCAGTAAAACTGCATGAGTGCATCTAAGTGTATACCAATACCATAGATGTTGTACATTGCCAGTCTATGGGATTGTCTTTGTTTTTACAGTGGCATATCGCCCATTAGAAGAGGGACAAGGATTTCCCAATGTTATCCTACTGCGCTGATCCACTAGAGCCAGGTGCACAAATTGGCTCAAAGAGTTGGTGTATTATCTCAAAAGATAAAATGCAAATAATCCACAATGCACACACACTTGTTTTAATATGGTATACTACAAGCATGTCAAACTCAAAGGCTAACACAGGCCAAATAAACAAGGTTTAAGTTGATGTGGGCCGCAAAAAAAAAAAAAATTCAGTTTTCATAGAAACGTAGGTTTATTTATAAAATATGGCAGGCGGGCATTCCCTCCAATGGCCATTGGAGTAACTAAATGACCTCCATTTGTTTAAATATACATTGGGATTTAGGCTGTTTTTTTCCTGTATGTATTGGGGCTGATGTGTACTGTGGTCATTGCTGCCACCCAAGAGTGATGGGAGTGAACGCAGGACTTGTTTTTTTGTATTTGTATTCACTTTTTGTATCACACAGCTATGTTACAATGCTGCCGCCCATCCCATGTGTTTCCTATTAAGGGTTATAAGTATATAGGGGTATACATAAAAAATACCCCTCTCTGTCTCATTAGAAATGTCTTTGCCAGAGGCTCAAGGAAGCAGGGTGAAAGGTCAGTGTAGGATCCACCTAAGGGGGTCTACCTTGATGTTGGCAGGCGGACATTCCCTCCAATGGCCATTGGAGTAACTAAATGACCTCCATTTGTTTAAATATACATAGGGATTTAGGAGAGAGCACAGGTAACTTTTTCTTTGGTTTTTACTGTATGTGTTGGGGCTGATGTGTACTGTGGTCGTTGCTGTCACCCAGGAGTGTAGGGAGTGAGAGCAGGACTTGTTTTTTTTTGTATTTATTTAGAAAAGTACAGTATAAAAATGTTGCCTAACTGACACTGGACGTCCTCACGCTCATAGGGCTTCAAAATAAACAAAAGAGCGGATTTATTTTAAGAAGATGGCATTTGCATATAACTAATGTTTCAGTCCAACTACCATGACATACCAAGAAAATTTGGTAATGGGACTGAAATGGTGACTATATGCTATTGCACAGCTGTTAAAACCAAATTATGTTATCTTGTTGATTTTGAAGTCCTATGAGTGCGTTCTTCACTTTGGCTGAGATCATCAAACTTGATGATCTCAGCCAATCCAATGCTTTCCCGTAAGAAAGCATTGGGAGGCTATTGTGCTTGTGTGGCAAAAAAGCTTTGCGGCCAATCAGCATCTCCATGGGAAGCGTTCAGCGCCTCCATTCAGACCCAATCTAATACACTGCCCCTTCCCCCCATTCTAATACACTGCCCACAAATCCAATACACTGCCCCCTCCACCTAATCTAATACACTGCTCCTTAATCTTATGCACTGCCCCTCCTCCCTCCACTCTAATTTAATACACTGCCCTCCTGCCCTTGATTTAATACACAGCCCCCTCCCACCACACAAATACACTGCCCTCCTCCCACCACACAAATACACTGCCCCTCTCCCACCACACTAATACACTGCCCCTTCCCTCCCCCAAATTAATACATTGCCCTCCCCCAATTTAACACTGCGCCCTCCTCCCACCACTTTAACACACTGAATCCCCCTTCCACCACTCTAATAAGCTGCCTCCCCTAAGTTAATACACTGCCCCCTCTCCCCAATGTAATACATTGGCCCCCTTCCTCTCTCAAATAAATACAGTGCCCCTTCCCTCTCTCAAATTAATACACTGCCCTTCTCCCCAACTTAGCACACTACACAGGAAGGTCCTCCAAGCCTCTCTTACCCTACCTTGAGATGAGCTTTCCGTCTTCCAGTTCCAGCCCTGCTATTCTCTGCTCAAGCAGTCCAGATGCTCCTCTGGCACTACAAGCATGAGGGAAGAGTGGTAGCTGGCCTGTCTTGCAGCTGGTTGCAGCCTGAGCACAAAGTGGCCCCAGGGCAGGTGGACCGCAAATATATCCTTTGTGCGCCGCAAGTTTGACATGCTTGGTGTACTATGTCCACCTTCCTTGGTAACAACACTCCCCAACCCTTATTAATCAAATGGATTTGATGACTGCGAATAACCAGATTAATTACTGATATCAACAGATCTGAACCATATAACTGGTTTCAACTGGCCAATTTTCAATGCTGTTTCAAGAGATACATCCTTGGGAGAAATCCAATGACGGGGATTTGTTAAATGGCCATGTAATATTTATAATTTGTTTATTCCACAATGCTAGTACATATGGAATGTGTATATGTCTTTAACAACTGAGTCATATGATAAGAGGTAATCTTGTTTGACACAGAAATATTGGAGAAAGTTCTTTGTTTGCATGTTTCTACACATAGTAAATAGTGATGTTTCTGCAATAAATTCCATTCTCCATGGCTGTCCCAGCATGGCTTTAGTATGATACTATATTTTGGAACAGGGAATTTATTTAGACACATGAATATTTGTATTTAGATATGTGATATGTTCAGTCTATCCACAAATATCCTAACAAAAAGAATATTGGGTAAATCAATAAATTATCACAGTGGGTTCGAGGAAACTTGTTACAACAAGCATGCTGAAACAGATGAACATCTTCACAACAGCATTTAAGTCAATGGGCACCTCTCAATAGTTGCAGTAGAAAAAATACATGTGGCGAAACCAGCCTCGCCACTGTCCACTGGAGGAGCCTGGTTGCTCGCCTGCTCCCTTTAGACTATGGCCCGGCAGTTAAAACCTTTTATTTTCCCTGCAAAGCGTATTCATGCCTTTCTGTAGACTGTTAAAGCCATGCTACCCCAGATAGCTATGCCATGGAGCCCAGCCGTATACTGAAAGACTGTATGAAAGACTTTGGCTCCATGGCGATTGAACTGTATTTATGTGATCTGAGCGCCATTCGGTAGTAATGTGCACTCAGATCTAAGCTATCTGGGGATATGTAGAATGTCTATGTTTTATGGAATAAATGTAACTGTATGTAATTTTATGTCTTTTGCCATGTGGTTAATGGAGTCTTGCCTCTGTCCTGGGAGATAATTGGATTACTTCAGTTATCTCCTGGACAGAGAGGAGGGATTGTGATGTAAATGTGGGTGTGTTTTATGGTTCCCCTGTAACGATTGGTTGTACTGTGTCCCACCCTGTGGGATGTCCCCTTGCATGGGGACTTGCATAAAAGCCAGTGTGTGGCCATTACAGAGAGTTCCTGTTTTAACCCTCAAAGTGAAGTGTCGTCTCATTATTGGGGGAAGGATTTATTGTATGCTGTTCCAGTTTGACTGCTAGGAGAGAAAACCTATTCGTATGGTTCCTATTCAACTGTCTACAGCATTCATATGCTTGGGAGAATTTATTTGTTTCTCCGGTTCGGTGATTGTGGTGTCTGCCAGAGTGCTTGGAGTCCTCAGGAAGCGCTAGGAGCATCCTTCAACGGAGGTACCCAGTCGGGGTGCCAGGCGATCCGTTACAATGCAATAATAACCTCCTTTTTCTGAAGAACAAATGCAATATTGCCTGGGAAAGAGAACCACAGGGACACCTTCAAAGACTGGGATTGGAGAAGTGGAGAATAGAATAGAGACAGTAGGTGAACCTGAAAGTTTCGGACCAGAATGGCTTTATACTGTGGCAGCTCCACTAAACATGTGTTAGGGTACTAATAATGGACATTGTGAAGAAGATTTTTGAGAAGAAAATTCTTATTTATCCTCTCAGGCTGGAGATACCACCTATAAATCAGTTTGCCTCTATGATGATAACCGTGGTTACACCTTTCAAGGTGTTTGCTGCATTGATTCATTCAGCTACTGATAAATTTAACTATCCCTCCTTTTCCACTTGATAATTACAAATAACACTTGGATAGAAATTTCAGTTTGGTAGGGTAAGTTCAGTGTGGGTGGGTGCCATTTTGAGCCTTGGGTTGCAGCGGTGAGATATGCAGTGTAGTATGCCTCATGTTACTTTTTTTTTTTTTTTTTTTAACTGACTGGTTGGTCATGGCTATGTATTAAACATGCTCTGCTATTGATTTGGTGTAGTTGCCATGCTAGTTAATGCATTGGCATTGAGAAGAACACGCTTCATGTGTCTGATACCATTGGATATCTGTCACGGTCCAAATTCAGTTTTTTTTGTTTTGTTTTTAACATTTTTGTTTTAAATGTTTTATAACTTATTTTTAATTCACCCCCTTGTTATATATAACAATCTGGTTTTTCAAAGCTCCATCTAGTCATGGATTAATATGACAATTAGAGGTGTCATAAAAGTTATTGAGATCAACCAGTTTAACCCCTTAAATACTGAAGCAATTGTACAAGTTCGAATCAAAACAAAACCTGAAATTTTCCCTATATGTTTGTTCAACCATATGATTTACCTGTTTCAAATTAAGTGCATCCCCACTTATTATATGTCATTTTGTTCAGGAGAAACAGGGCTTCCATTTCGAATCAAATATGAATTTGATTTAATATGACTAAGGTATAAAAAAAAGGGTAAGAAAGAAATTAAACTGTTATTTTCTCAGTTTTGCGTGGCATTTTAACTGTAAATGTCATACTGTCATACAAAATACTGTTTGCTTTTACTGCAATAAAAGACACATATTTGTATGGACAATGGCATGTCCACATCCTTTTTATTACTTAGGTAGAGACCTCACCCACTAGTGGGAACTAGGGAGGGCATTAAGTCCCCCTTATTAATTAATTACCCCCAGCTGTAGGGGTGGGGGCTAAGGGGGTATTAATTCCCCCCCATATTTAAATAATAGCCTCCACCCAATGATCCTGGGGTGACATTATGTCCTTTTTGCATAACTAATCAATAGGGCCTAACCCTGCTTAATCTGTGACCTATTTGTTCATTCTGTCATATAGCCATTTCTGATTTTCTATTCAACTTTGGACAAAATGAATTAAAACTGTAATTTTTGTTCATTTTCATGTTTAAAAATGAATGCACAAGTCTAGTAATTAACAAGTAATCTAAGCACAATTGTAAAGCATTGGTTCTTAATTTAGTGACCATCTTAAAGTACAATTGAAAAGTCCATTAAGGACTTTAACCTACTTATAATGACTTACTTAACCAATATAATAGTTAGTTTAGCTTGTTCTATAAGCTGATCTACCCAAGGCCCATGATGCCTCAAATAAATTGTAGTTTACTTGTGTACAGGGTAAACTTATACTAATAATATATCAGACTGGTCCCATCCACATAGTCACTCCTGAACTGAAATATTAGACGGGTCCTCTCTGCACTGATGATACAGCAATCCCAGATCATTCTGGCCTCTTTCAGGCCATGTCAATGATGCCTGCATAATGACCAAGAGGCCTTGGTCTTGTCTTGGTCTGGTATACTAATTTTATCCATAGGGGTAGACCCAAAGAATCTACAAATAAGTGGGGGAAATTGTAGGGAAGAAACATTCCCACACCGTTACATACCTTCTATAATGACAAAGGTAATCTTTTTCATTAGCACATCCGACTTGTCTAACCTACATTGACAATTTGGAAGCAAAATTCCAGACAAATCGCTTGCAAGACAATTAAAACATGTCCAGCTCGTATGCTTTATTATTGACATACTACTTATTACATTCTACCACTTTGAGTAGATAGTCAATGAAAGACAAGTAAGTAAGCTTTGTCAAAACTTGCATTTTAAAGTACATACTTGCAAACATTTCCTCTTTTTGTAGTAAATCCATACTAAATGTCTGTTTTTTTTCTGCATTTGCTAAAACAGAAAAGATAGCAATTTCACCTTGGTTATATATTCAATTAATATATATATATGTATATATGTATGTTAAATGACTGAATAATAATGCAAAATGAGAGAGGAGAAAAGATTTGTATCTGGATCAGAAACATTTCATTGTCTAGCCCCAGGAGACAACCTGGTTTTGTCTTCCACTTATATAATGCATTAAATGTTTAAAAAAAAAAAAAAAGAAATTGAGAGGGGGTATTTTATTTTCCTTTTTATAAGGTAGGAGTGAAATCTAATCATTGAAAAGAAGTTTTAAATGAGTCATCCATTGTTTCCCAGCAAACTGGGTCAACTATTTTAATGTCAAAACCGTTCTATGTAAATCTTAGTCAAGGTGACTTTCTTCTAAGATTATAAATATGTAACAAGTGATCATTGCTAACATAGTAGAACTTCAAAGTTTTCAAATGGAAAGAATAATTAATTCAGACTAATTACAAAAAGTACATGTTATACAATTAACTTAATTTCAAGTGAAAGAAGTATTTTCTCAACCCTACTTTATTTGTAGAATTATAGCATTTTAAGCAACATTGATGAATTCATTTTCTTGTTTTTAGGAGAGATTTGCATCTTATAATACTTTGGCAGATTGCTGAAAATGATTTTTAATTTCTAGAATTTTAGAAAGTTTCTGTTTCTGCTGCAGTAATTATTAAGATGCATAGCTCCAGAGCAAAATACTTTAATTTACAAGTGAATATAATTTGCATATATTTGCAAGATTAATTTATAGTGCATTTGTTGTGGGTTTTTTTTTTTTTTTTTGTATGAGACAAACCTTTTAAAACAGTAATGCCTTATTGAAAAGGGGAGTGGAGGATAGAGCATGGTTTTAGACTAGTTAAGAAAATATAGTTAATATGAGATACCAGTATAAACATTTTTATTTGTTTTCTTCTCTGAAATCATGTACTGTTTTAGAGGTATATGGATACCTATCAGGAAATATAGATTACAAAATTGTTATAAATAATGCTAGCCTATTTTTGAAGGTAGCTTTAAGATTGTCAATGAAAAGTTCTGCTCGGATATCTGACATAAATGTTATGTTATATGCTGATGGTATACAACATTTCAGTTTACATAAGCATGTACATGTTATTTGGCACCCTGTGGCTCCATTAATGTGTAGGGTGATTTAAAAAAAAAAATTGTGGTGTGTACAATTATTAAAGGGACACTATAGGCACCTAGATCACTTAAGCTCATTAAAGTGGTCTGGGTGCACTGTCCCTGTCCCCCTTAGTCCTGCAATGTGAAACATTGCAGCACTGAAACAGCCTCTAGTGGCTGTCTACCTGGGGAGAACGCTTTTTAAAATAAAGGTGCCTGAGACACAATTTGGGGAACAAATGCTACCTAAGAGCCAGTCAGAGCACCCTATATTTCGGCCACAGGAGCTCCCAAAAATTGACCGGCCCAAGCACCAAATGCCCTGGAACTGTTTTGGGCATAGGACCACGTGTGCAGCCAGTCAGAAGTTTAACACGGTGGTGTTTCCTCTACACTGCATGGATCTGAACGCTATTTGGAGAACTTGGGCGCTCAGTTCAGGGCTATTAGGGATGTGTTATTTGTTCAGTTATTTTATGTTTTTATGATGTTTTGGGGTATTTTTAAGTTTGTTTGCCTTTCTGTTCATGGGAGATCATTTAAGCCTACCAGTCTTAAACTCAATTATCCCAGGCATCTTTGGGAGGGGCTTGCATTGTATTGTGTGGAGACCCCCTGCTGGGGGTTGTGTATATAAGCAGGCAACTTGGCCCTAATAAACCAGTTCCTTTACTCCCATCACTCAGTCTCAACTAGTGTTTGGTTGTACCAGCTATACAGCTATTCTCTCTGCAGGAGAGTTTTAATCATTAGAAGCTCAATACAGAAACCTGTTCCAGGGTGGGAAGCGACGGCGAGACTCTGGCCAAACTGCGATGGCTAGGGGCTGAAGTGCTGATAATGTCCCAGTGATAGCTAGGTAGCATGTTTGGCAGAGGTACCAAGTCGGGGTACCAGTCGGTCCACCATACATGCACACTCGGTTATACACAATGACACATACATACACATTGACACATATAGATACTGACACACAGATAAACACACTAATAAGCATAGATACACACATAATGTCATACTATATATATATATATTGACACCCTCCTATTGACATAACTTGTGTGTGCTGAAGGCTTCCATGGAGTCCTTATGATGCTGACTGAGTGTGATGGGAGTGTAGGTTAAGAGCTGTCTCTCTCTGTGTTCCTGCTCATACCTGTGCCTACTCTTTGCCTCCCCCTGTTTAGCAATACCCATCGGTTGTCCCTAAGTCCATGGGCCACCCATTGGGCTCCTTCAGTGTGTGGGCCTCGGTGCAGCCGGCAATAGTTCCGCCGCTACCCGGAGCTCTGCCGACAGTTGCTTGGACCTCATGGGTAGGTTTTTACTTTGACATGCAATTACAGCTTTGAAACCTTATATAGCAAGGTGTCTAGGGGGAAATGTAAGTCATCTGAACTCAGAATCATTAATTTTAACTTTACCAATTTTATCTATAGGAGCCATTGCAAAAATTAATCAACCATAAATTTTGATCATGATATGTTGTGTAATTTAATAGATTTCAGTTTGAATTATCTTGAAATTAATCCTGCCCATATTTATACTTTACACACCAGTCCTTTCTAACAATCAGAACATTTACCACACTTTTCACTGATTTAAGTCATATTGATTGGGGCATTGACTCCTATTTCATAACTTAACTATATCTTTCACATAAAGAAATGTAACATTGTTTTATGAATGCAGTCTGAACTAACCACATAGTAAAGCATTTTATTAATATTCTCATGCAACCCCAACGTAAAGTCTAGCGGTAAAAAAAATACTATTTAAAGACTGAGTCCAAGAGACCTTATGTCACTGTAGTCCTAAACACAAAGATGGCACCCAATTCTCGTGTATAATGTGCAGGAAAGGAACTCCGCAAGAAGTAACCAAGGAACTGAAAGAGCATGCTATGCAGGCGAAAAGTAAGCATGATCTCAGGAACACAGGAATCAAAGTGAAAAAAAAATGAGAATTGCAGCTTACAGAATTTCATATTTTCCTGCATTTGATTGATCTCCCATGGGTGGTCCTTTTGCAAAGTGAGGCTCAATATCACTTGTTACTAACTCTATATGGCAAATTCCCTTTTGCACATTAATGGAGTTAATATGAGGTTTCCCTGAAATTCACATTATAATTCTTAGATTGTACCTGTGATGGACAGGTGCACCTGGATTGTTGACACTTTAAAAATAATCTAAGAATGTTTATTTCTAACATAAAATGTTAAGTACTGTGGAAAATGTTGGTGCTATATAAATGCTATTAATAATAATATATAACCGCTTTACCAATATACAGCAAAAGCATGTAGTTTTAAAAAGGATTACAAAAAACATAGAACTAATTAGCTGTAATGTGTGTTCCTTCAGTCCTTTAGTCATCACAGTATATGAAGCGTTATATATAATTATGCGGTAAATATTATTATACATTTTTTTTCCTTTATAAAGGAATTTCTAAATATCATAAACATAGGCTATGCATTTTCTGGCATATTTGAATAAGGTTGTGACATGAAGCCTTGACAGTTTAATAAGCATAATTAAGAAAGAAGGGAAAACAGAATCTTAAAATTCCATGACAACATGAAAAACTATTTGATACATTGTTATAACACAATAATAAACAAAGGGATAATACAACTAATTACATAATTAGTGTGGGTAGCTCTGCTTCATGTTTGATCCTGTACTTTGTTACCATAGTTTGGGTAGGTACACATTCGGATTATATTTGATGCTATTATTGCTTTTGTGTTTATTTATTACTTATGAAAACACCCCTCTATAAACCATTTGACTTCAGGTCTTAGTAGAAAGAAACATCACAAGAGCATATATATTGGGCACATCACTCAGCATGAGCTTTAACAGAAGAAGATGGTAATTATTCAATTGCATACCTGCATTATGTTGGTGTTAACTAGTGAAACCTTTTTTAAGGCACTGAAAAATCATCATATTCTCAATTAACTGACTAGAAAAGGCATAAGGAGTACAGTGCAAGCAAAAGTGGAACATCACATTTTGGAAATGTAAGTGCAATGGCAACCAACCTGAAAAAATGCGCACACAAATAAAGTATCTAAGCATGAGCATATACAAACATACCACATAAGTCAGAACTGTAGCAACACAATAAAAAATGTGTGGGTTTGGGAACGAGAACAGGTCCGTAAAAGGAGTCATACTGAGCTGCTGGTATATGACGTATAAAAAACCCTACAATATTGATTTTCGTGTGTGTGGCCTAGTAGATGTAGACTTGATTTGGTAAACCAAAAAAGCAAACAAACGAATATAGATGGTAGGTTTTGATATATATTGATGTGCATATATATATATAGTAGACAAAAAGTGCACTCACAAGTCTTTTGCAATAATCATTTTATTGTGTAAACAACAATTACACCTTGCTTCTGTTGACGTTTCAGTCCACACAGGACTTTTTTCTTGAATTTTTGTTGTATTTGTTGTTTGCACAATAAAAGGATTATTACAAAAGACCTGTGAGTGCACTTTTTGTCTACCTGGCTGGAGATTTGCACCCAGGCATCTACAGAAGAGTGAGTGCTGGACCCTCAAGTATGTATGTATGTATATATATACTCTTAAGAACTGAACACTGTTTTTGTAGTATAGAATAGTAAACCAAGTAATCTGGTCTGATGCTTAACTTCACAGCTGCTGACCTTTAAAAGCAGAATATTTCCTCAAGACCAATTTGCCCAATCCACAGTTGCTGCAATTTGTTTTTGTAACTGTACATTTTTTTAGAAGAGCAGAAACCTGTAATTGCACATATTGCCAAACTAAAATGTTCTAGGTCACTGTAAAATATATTCCGTAGTGGATAGAAGATGTACTACTTTTTAGAGTGTAGCAGTGACAGCTATAGAAATATTATATTTCCAGAGTATTTGGATTCCAATTAAGTTATTTTTGCAGGATGTGCATCTATGCATATAAACTTGTATTAAGTAACTATTCCCTATTGTTAAGACTTAATTGTCCAAAATTATTGTTCATGACCTAAGCTGTTTTACACTTTGTGGTTTAGGCTAAGGGTAATTGTTTAAAAATGTTATGGGTATTTTCAAACTGTGGATTAGCATACTCATGGGATTGTCACAATATTTGAAGAGTCTTAAACTTCAAACTGATTAGTTGCCGCAATATTTTAGTTTTCATCTACTTAATGCATTTTGATAGTTCTCTTCTAGATTGAATCTTGTTGAACTATGATAGCTTAATTTCACAAACATTTATGCACTGTTTCCTTCACAAAAACAGATTTACTCACAATAGTTAAAGACATAGAACCGTTGTATTTGAAGTACTATTATTTTAAAGTCTTCGTTTATTGTATTTTTTTTCTTTTGTCATATGTATTTTTAATTCCAGTGATAGAAATGTGATATTTGCTAGAATACTAAAAGTTGCTTGAACATTTTAGTGTGTGTGCGTGTGTGTGTGTATAAACATGTACATATGTATATACATTGATCTTTTGTCTTTGTTTCATGATATTAATATTCAATAAAATGTTTATTGATTTTTTTCTCTTCCATGATTGGAATATTATAAAGACTGCTCCCTACCATTCCAGCTGCTTTGGAATGGAACAGGGATACACAAAACCACACAAACAGACATACATACTCACACACATACAAAATACGAATCTGAAATGAAAGCTTGAGGATACTATGAATGTTATACAAAGCTCAGTCTACATGTTTTAATAAGATGAATATTAACCCCTTAAGGACTGAGCCAATTGTACAAGTTGTGATCAAAACGAAATGTAAACAAAACCAGGAATTTGCGCTATATGTCTGTTTAACTGTAATTCACCATATTAAGTACACCCACACTTATTATATATCATTTTAGTCAGGAAAAACAGGACTTTTATTTAAAATCAAATATTTAGATATCAAACATAATTTTATATGACTAAAATATAAAAATAATTTAGAAATTGAGATTTTTTTTATTTTTTTTAGTTCTGCATGGAATTTTAACTGTGAATGTCATAATACTGTTAGTGGTTACTGCAATAAAGTACACATAATTGTATTCAGCAATGTCTCACAGGTAAACCAGTACCCCCCATGTACAGGTTTTATCGTGTTCGGCGGGGACCCAGTATTAAGGAGGGTGAGGATGTTCTATGCCGCCATTTAGGACTGCCTAAGAAAGGACAGCATAGAACGTCCGCCATCCTTAAGGGTTGTTAATATTTTAATTCCAACTGTATTTATGTTTACAAAACACACATATAAATGGGAATTAAAATAATTCACCAATACTTTATCTTTTTCTGAAAACCATGCTGTGAGCAAGTACTACACAATGTCCTCTTTATCTATGAACTTTAATGTCAGAGAAGGGGGGAACATTTCAGTAGTTTGTTTGCATGTTTGTTTGGACTCTGGAGGATTTTCAATTAAAACCATTACAGACTAGCTTATTATTTACTAGAGAAAGTTTCAGCAGTAAACTATTGAGTATGAATGGGACTTGGGAGTATAACACCTCTCATTTGTAGCATGGTGTGAAATCTATATACAACAATGTAGATGCCATACCGGGCTAACAATGATGGGAGTGACAAGATCATCTAATGTACTATCCCTTGCAGTACATGGTGGCTAACTCAATCAAGTTGTGTGTTATGATTGATGAGTTGTGGGTTTGTAGGTTTAAGCACAATGACATTTTATATGCAGCAGTTATCGTTTCGATATCTTAAAGGGACACTTTAAGCACCATAGCAGGGTTCTCTTGGCAACTAAAGCAGTTAGGACTGCAATAATAGGCTGTGAGCTTATCCTTTTTATATAATATCATATTGATAAAGGCTCTGGTGGGTCTGAAACATTGATTTGTTTGGATGTTAGCAATATTTGATTTGATGAAGCACATTTGTTGGAAGTCCTGAGAGTTTTTATACATATTTCTATACAATAGCGGTAATATTCACCCAGGCCGTTGCTCAGTAAGTTAGTACCTTAGTGCATGCACCATATTTTTATTGGTATTTTTATTTTATATACATTTTATATTTATACATGGTTACATCTATTTTGTTATAATACGATTTTTTTTTTCCTGTATATATATTTTCATTCTACATACACAAATTATGGTGCAGCCAAGGTAATTTCTGGCATTGTTTTTTATTTTTTATCCTCCTTTTTTTCTAAGCCTTCACACATGCCCGAGCAGTCTGTACTACTCCATGTATGCGCATTTGACTAATAAAGTTTAATTGTGCCTTGATGTGAGAGCACATGCGCGACTGACATGCTGTGACATCACTACATATGGCGCAAAACCGTGGGACGAAATGCATCGAGCCAGGCAATCCGTCAGCCAGCCCCCTGTTGCCTACAAAGGCCTTTTCAAGGACTAAAGGGACTGGACGCTATTGCTAGTTACCTGGAATTTTGGCCCTTTTTGGGCAAAGTATTTTTGGCACTTCTCTTCACTAGATTAGTGCCCTATTCTTTGTGAATGTTTTTATTGTTTGTTTTTAATTGAATACATTTATTATGCCATGACCCTTTTTCACATATATATATATATATATATATATATATATATATATATAAAATTGATTTCTTCTGTAGTCAGGTGTGGGAGATCACTGTCCAGAAGAGTGCAGTTCTAGGGACAGCTAAGATACTGCGCAGAACCCTCAAACTCCCATGCTTCTGTTAGAGGACCCGAGAATGAGAAATAAACATTCCACCCAGGAGGGGTGAGAAAATCAATATATATCTATATATATAAAATAAAATAAAATTATATATGTAATTTTTGCACTGTTGTATTTTCCATGCAAGTGTTTTAGGCTGTCCAAAAATGTACAGCACAAATAGAAAAAGCACAAATAGAATAAGAAAAAGGAGAATATGCTCTATAATTAGATTACCTTGCACGTGTCAGAAGAGATGCTTGTTAGTAGAGAGAATTGATCCATTCCATCTTTGAAGTTCATATGAATATCACAGTTTTTGACAAACTCAAAATTTACTTTAAAGATCAATCAATTCTTTTCGAAGGTAATTTAGTATTTAAATCAAACAATGAAAAAAAGTATCATAAAAAATGAATGTAAAACAAACTTTAGGAAAATACTAAATTTCTGTTTCTCAACAGAATCTGTGAAGCAATTACCCTTTTAACGTATTGGTAATCAATGACATACAATATATGTATTGTTCTGTTAAAGGATAATTTGCTTACTCTCGTCAAGAAGAGGTTAAAGTAAATATATAATTATATCAAAGCACATGCTCATGTTCTAAACCGCAAAATATTTTTGTGAAGTCCAAAATCTTGAAGCAGAGAAAAAAAAACACTTTCTTTTTTTCACTGATTCAACAAATACATTTATTTAGCTTAAATACTCATTTAAAATTAAAATAATTAATACTAGAAAAAGTAAATATTAACAAACAGTGATAAAGTGGACAATGGTACTGCTAAAACACACTGAAAGGGAAACTCCAGACCCCTAAAACACTTTATCTTGCTGAAAAGCTTTATATGTGAAGATTGGGTCTTATTTGTTTCATTTTTGAAAAAGTGCAGATTACAATAGAAATTGACACTTTTATAAATTATACTGATTACACCCCCAGGCTTTTCTAACAAACAACAGGTAATTTTACTTTCTGGTTTGGTTGGCTTATTAGCACTGAACTCAAGATGCAGCAATTGCACAGAGCACCTGCCTTGCAAAGACTTATCATTGAGTTTCATTTGGAAGTCTGTGATTGGACATCCACAGAAAGTCTGGGCGAGGTTAGAAGAGGAGGGCTTGCAAAGGCAGCAAACAAGAGATCTGCAGTTTTTGCAATCTGTTTTTATATATAACTCCATTTAAAAAAAAAAAAAAAAACATAAGTAAATGCATGCAACTTTTCATTTGGGCTATATCTACTAAACATTATTTTTTTTTTATTTTGTATTTTGGCAGTGGAGTTCCTCTTTAAAGTCAAACCATGTGTAATTATTAACACGTTGTAAATTTCATAAATGATAAATGAATTGTATCTAAAGTAAACATAGCATCAGTTGAGGTCAAGGTATACTACTGTGGGAAATAGTTTAAAAACATGCGGCAGTGCTCGATTTAATTATGTTGTGGCTGGTCAGTGCTGGTTATAAAGCCAACACTTTAAAATGTTAAAACAAATTCTAAAAAAACTTCTTGGAGTCAATATCAGCACTTTATTAGTATAAATCAATTATATAAATTAAATAGAAGGTGGCTGTGCATTATAATTACAAACTAACCACTGAGGAGCTTTTGTGGCCCAGTCACTAAGAAAAGAATCACCCAGTCGGAATGAGGCCTATAAAACACGAGGTTCCTGGCAAAAGGTTTCCCCCACGCCTTCACATTTGGGCATCAAGTGGGGCTTAACATTAAATATTGGGAGGTGCACTGTTTACTGTCTATCCCACTGTCCCCACTTGTGGTAAACTTATGGGGAGCTATCAAAATATTGCAGGGCTCACTAAATATCCCTCACCCATGGATGGAGACAAAAAAAAATTAACTGAGGTTACAGTAAATGTCTACTCCCACATGTGGTGGCTATTATTAAATAAATGTGTCAGTGAGTGGGGATATTTAAAAATAAGAAAGTCTGCCTTTATCCAATCTCTTTAATCTCCCTAGATGAGGTTAGGGCCATGTTCCATCCACCCACCCAGTGACTAGAGATCTCCAAGACCTTAGCCACCCCCCATACAAAAACAAAATATCTTACTTCACCACTCTAATAATAGTGAGGTACAGACCATTAAATCTAAAACCAGTTCTGGATTGCTCTTATGGGTTGGATCATTCTGATATTCAAATCGTATAGGTTCTCTCTTTAATGGCACAAGTGAGCAAAAACATTTTTGAGACTTGCTCAGGTCTCAAAAATGTTTTGCTGACTTGTGCCATTAAAGAGAGAACCAGGGATATGGGCAGAAAATTAGTGTGTAATGAGTCAAATGCAAGTTAAATGTAACAGATTACATGCTTTTTGGTTAATACAAATTGCCACGTTTTCAACTCATATTTTGTTTTGTATGTTAGTCACAGTCATAGTGCTTTTTCTTCCTGCTGTTCCTGAGGTGTTTCAGTACCAAAGTTCGATCGAGCCAAACAATGGCATGAACTAAATGATGCTGCTCTTAAATAAAATAAATTAATTTCTGACAAAGTGTTTCAGAATTAAAAGTTTCACCCTGCACAAGTCTAATAACATGTAGATTGAAAAAGTTATGGAAACTGCAAGAACTGAAGTTATGCTAAAACAATGTTACCCTGACTTCAGTGTTTGGAAAAATGTACTGTCTACCAAATCTATGTTTAATCTAATCCAGATTATATTCCTTTCACTTATAATTAACTTTATCAATTCTACATTAACCTTACTAACAATAGTTATCTGTGTATGAGACATATTTTATTTTTCACATTTAATTTCCTAATTTTTTACGTCTTCTTTTCTTTCACTCAAAAAGTTGCACTTATATGCTGCCTGGGTACAGCTTTATCTTAACTTAATGGAATGACAGCATCATGGGACTTCAGACCCTATAACCACTTCAATGAGATGAACTAGTTACAGTGCCTATATTGTGTGGTAAAACAAATAATTTTAAATAAGACTGTTTTCAATAGATCTCTAAATGGGGAATTCATTTAAAATGGACAAGCATTCTGCATTGGGGAGGGACATTTTAACACAAACCTGAAAATGAATATTTAAAAATTAAAGACGACAACACGAAGTAAGCCACTATTTTTCAAATGACCGGTCTTGATGCGGAGAAGAGTTTCCTATGTCCCAATCTCTTTTCTTGCTTCCCTTCAGTGGGAATGGGATACTAGATCTCAAAATGAACTGAATTTTACAATTCAAATTCTGAGGGCATGGAAAAAGCAAAATGAAGCACATGCATATATTGATTCACAGCCTTTGGCTCTCCGTTGTGTAGATCAGCTTCTCTTTTTCTGTTTTGTGAAACCAGATATTTGAAGTACATTTCTCAGTCTAATCAGGAACTAGTTTATAATTTTTCAAAGAATGTTGCTCTGTACTTGAGTTTTCCTTCATTTTATAGTATAGATACCATTTCATTAGTGTATGAAAGCAATAGTAATAGAGTAAAGGTTTACACACATGAAAGAGATTATTGTATCTGAAAAGTCTTTGATATTGTATCAGAGAAATAACTAATCTGCTTAAGTCTCTGCAGCAATCTACGTACATGTTTCTTATTAATAATTTTCTTCTATCTTTGTTAAGTTTGTATATTATTTAGGTCGAGAGATTTAACAGTAAACCCTTATACAAAAGATGGTAGAGAGCGAGCGACACTATAACATACAAAAAGGAGGTTCCATAAGCATTCTAGCCAAAAAAAAAAAAAAAATAAATGAAAGATTAACACATTCAATATATCCAGGCAGAATCATATCATATCAAATGGTATCTTTCTTAAACAGTTCACTATCTTAATAAAGAATGCTGGTGTTCCTCATTAGTTTTTAATTTACTTCAAAGTACGCTAAATTTCATTTATTGCAGGATACAGTACAGATGCAATATTTCAATGTGTGAAAGAACAGGTCTTAAATGGCTTTGAAACCTGACATTTTTCATGTTTAACCTTTATTCTACATTGAATAAATTAACATTGAATGATTAGATTAACTTAGCCCATGTCTGCTGTGACCATAGTAAACTGAATCTGAATTATTGTCATCTTTAAAGTTTTAAGCAATGTCAGAAAATGCCAGGACACGAAAAAAAAGTTAACTTCTAAAGCTCTTAATATTACATAACTGAGTAGTCTAGGTGTTTAGTTTTTTCTAACAACATTCAATATATAGTAGAGATGATATTCAATACTTAAGCAAGGTTTACATTTTATTTCTAATACAATATGGTGATATTTAATACATGTGACATTTGAAATAGGATAAGAAACAATCAGAAATAAAAATGTTACATTGTATTCTATGCACACGTAAATGCAGAACTGAATTGGGGTACAAATTAAACTTTCCTGTAATAAAGTGAAAGCAAATATGGTCTTCATTCTAAGATAAATCCTTCAGTATTTTTGCTGCTCCATTGATGTCATACCTTACATTTAGCTTTTTAAAATAAAGAAATTATTTTTTTTATAAAACAGCACCGTATAGGGCTTAACAAATGTTTAAAACAATCTATTTATAATTATCTGAGTATGTCTTTTGATACATATTTATGCTAGATTTGGCGATGTATACACTTCACATTGAAACAGCACTCTTGGGATTTTGTGACATTTCAGTTTACATTTTAAACTTTTATCAGGACAAAATAAGAACTATACATAGATGCATAATTTATACTTGGCATCAAATACAAACAAAAGAAATACCATTAGCCTATGTCTGTGAATGCCAGAATTGGAATGTACCCTTCCCATGAACACAATAGTGCTCCCACTCTTTCCTGTAATGTCACTTAATATGTTTCTATTGTGACACAACTGTAAGTGAACCAAAATGAGAATGTGCTTATGAACAAATGCACAAGATACATAATCAAAGTACCTGCATAACAAATGCATTGACAACATTGACATTTAAAAATACTGGTTTCATATTCAGTGTTTCTAAAACAATGTCTGGGCTCGCAAAAATTAATAGAAACTTCAATGATGTATTTTGCAAAAATGATATACTTGTAATTAACAATGTCACTACTGGTTGAGTATAATAATAGTTTAGGTAATTAATTGTGCTAGGAAGGAACAGCACAACTAAAAACTAATGGTACTGTGCTTCAAACTGTGGCATACAAGTTAGATACAATAAGCTGCTATATATTTATCTGCACTGTAAAGGTATCATTTTACCTGGGTGATGCTCTTATTTCCCAATATAACATTGAAGCTGTGTTACCACACACTATACTGAAGCATTAGAATAAGAATTGATTGATAAGAAATTATATTTAGAATTGTAAGCTCTAAGGAAAGCAACATCTCTGAACTCCCTGCATTGTACATCATGAAAGAAAGAAAGAAAGAAATAGAGGGAAATGTACATTGCACAAGGATTAATTTGTGTAACATGTATACGTTGTGCCCAATTTGTGTAAACATTGTGCCCAAACACACACACATACACACACACACCAGAATTCCCAAGAAAGGGTTAACTGGGACCTCTATTTCTTGCTCAGTGATGTTATGATTCAATGTCTATTTCATCCAAGTTCTTGTAATTACTAACTGCTTATTTAACTATTTGGCTCATTGTTCGATTATTCAGTTGCACTTGTCTGACTTGCCATGTGTAACCTTGTTGCCTAGCAGCATTAGATCATCTTCCCGGCTACTCTCTTGTATTGTCCTTGTTCCTTGTATTGTCCTTGTTCCTTGTATCCTGCTCAATGTGTCCCGATAACCTTGCTCCTTGCATACTGAACCTGGCTATCTTTCAAGCTTCAAGGGAATTGGCACTCAACTGCAGTTATAATCAATATAGAGAAATGTCTCTTTAGGGAGTTAGTGGTTGTGCAGGAAAAGGATAATGCAGCTGTATTGGGATTGTGGGAAGCTAGAGGTTTGCTTACAGGGATAGAACAATCACAGGACATTCTTAAAATTTTAATGTTTGTATAGTATCCCACATGCAGTTAGTTTTCTATGCAAACCGAGATATTGCATAGGTAGAGAAGAAAGGTATCTCTAAATGATTCTGTTTGCTGATTTAACTACAAAGTCAAATCTAAGGATGGGATTGAAGAGATCAACATAAGCAGAAAGACAAGCATACTTTTGGTAACATGGTTCAGATTAGAGCTCAAGTAAATACTTTGTATTGCACTATGAAAGAAAATAATTGATAAATACAAAGTTGTACCTATCATCTCTTAATAGTGAGGATGAGATTGTGTGAAGGTTTGGTCTCTGATGAATGTGGAAGTGTCAGGTGTCAGAGAGATCTAGTGAATGGGGTTATTGTAATTCATGACATGTTCATTACTGACTACATTCTTAGAGCATCCCTTCATATCTGCTGCCATTCTGGATATCAGACCCCAATAGGTTATTCATTATAATGGACATTGCTTCTAGGTCTATACTCATAGTAAACACAATAATTACCTATTTGCATTATTGAAGGCCTCCTGGGAAGTGCAATAAATGTTGCCAAGCTTCTCCAACTTTTTGCAATCTACCCAATTGTACATGGAGATTATTCTACTGTATATATTGTAAATATTCAATATCTACCATTACTGTTTTATTCACCCACTATTATTGTTACCAAGTAGCTCCGTTGTGTATGAGCTCAAGTGTCACAGTCTATGCCAAAAGTGAAAAAGTAAAATAATTTATATGACTGCTTAAACTATTGTCTCCTCCAATCACTGCACAATATTGCACCAACATTATTCAGCTCTAACTAGTGTGCCTTATTCATGCATTTTTTCATTTTCTTTTTTTATAATCATTTATCAGATTTTCAAATGTGCACTGCCTGTTTCTTTGTTAAGCTTATAAAATGGTTTGATTTAATTATGATTGGTCTTTTGATTAGCTTTCACATTTTCTTTTTAATAAATAGAAAGAGTTCCTATTCGAGGTGGCTAAAGCTGTTTTGATTAATGCAACTTAATCTACAATAAAAGATGTTAGTTGGTATACGCATGTTAAAAAAGGAAAATCACTTAAACTGTCAAGCATAATGTATAAAGCATTTTCATACTAATTTCAAAGTTCACACAATCTGTTAAAAAGAATTTCCAACACCGACATAATGCTTCTGCTGGCTGAGTCGTCAATGGAATTCCCAAATAGGTACCTTTGAATGAAATTGCAGGTACATTTTAATGTAACTGATGACTTTTACATATGACAAAAAAAAAAAAATTGATTATTTTCTCAAAATGTATATTGCATATTATAGATGAGAGTAGCTTTAATGACTATGGAAAAGTTATGCTTTTTATAATAGATTTATTATTATTATTATTATTGTAAAGTCCATATTTACGTTTCTTAGCATAAAAGCCGTATTCATTCCAGAACAGACATAACCAAAAATTACTGGGCTTACTACTGGAGGAAGCCAATGATTTAATCCCAGTTCACTGGTGACAAACACAGATACCAACTAAAGAACCAAGGTTACAGATAGTGAAAGTAATGAGGGAGTTGGAGGAGTTGCACTGGTCAGTTAAGGCTAAATGAAATTCCTACCTACAGGTCTGGGAACCTTGGCTAGAACATTGGAGATGTGATATATGAACAAACATGGCAAGTGTGCAGACACTTTAGGTTAGACCGAAATGACATGCATTATAGGACATCCTCCCCCATCTCCCCCTACACATAACCAAACAAACAAGGCACTATTATTGAGATAGTAGACAGTGTGCGATCACAGGATCATGACCAGGGAGCAACCCGAAAGACAAAGAGAGGGGAAACCCATCATACTCCGAAGGGCCACTCTATACACACAGAAACAGGCACTACATGCGTACCCTGCACACCTTAGAACCTACATTAGTAGTTGCACTATCTCTAGCAAGACCATTTAGCCTGTATTACAAGCATTTTCTGATATCTTAATATTCTTATTCAATTTTTAATTAATAATTAATTAAACTTTAATTAAACAGGATATATTAATCTCCAAACCAATTTTATTTTGTTAGTAGTACTGTGCCACTGGTAGGCGCTAGGCACAGCAGTAACCTAAACGGTCTCAAATTAGGATCAATCACCCAGGCTATTTATCTCCCATCACAAGTTGGAGTAAGTGGCATGGGCAGAAATGAAGCAGGCGCTGCAGTAGCCTAAGCCTAATCATTCTCACACTAGAATCATTGACCCAAGCTATCTCCCAGTCCCACACAGGCACAGCATTATACAACATAATATTACTGCTAATCTGTCTTCCTCACTAGCTACAAAGTGTCTGCAACAGTCCATCTTGGAAATGTTTATTTTTTTGTTTCTTCTTTTCCCCTCTACTCGTCATTGCTCACTTAATCTGTGAATTAAATCAAGCTGATCAGGCCAACACTGGCCAAATCTATTTCATACGATAATAAATTATCAGGTCTAAACATCTAATTTCATGGCAGATTATTTTATTCTATTGTAGTTTTGTGGTTAACAAAAATTACTTAAAAACTTAAAAAAACAAAAAAGTTTATTTGATGAGCATACATTTCATATATGATATATAGCAAATCCCTGACATTTGTTATGTTATTGGAACATAAAACTAACCATATCACTCATGTAAAATAATCTGGTTAATAGGTAATTTTAACCTTTAGCTTCTGCTTACAAATTGTACTTCTTCTATGTCCAATAGGCTCTTCAAATTATTTTACTTTTGTTTGGATTTGTTCCATAGCATTGATTTATGGCTTGCTTACTTGACTTTTGATTCCATGCTTACTGCTTACTTTATACCTGTGACTCAGGTTTCCTAATTTTCTGTGATCCTGACTTGGAAAATGCTTTTGGTATATGCTTCTGCTTCTTCCCTCTGTATATCAATGTGATATACTTGTTTACAACTATACTTGCTTTGGAACTATGCTGCATGGATTAACTTGTTTAACTCGCACATTCCATAGCATTAATTCTTTATGAATGAACTATTCCTGTGCATGTTATAGTTATCTGGTTTCACTTAAAACACTTAATTCCTGAAAAATCCAAATTTATTTTTTTTTCCCTCTAATGTTGGTTAATTTTATAACATCTTTATTAAAATTAAATATCCGACATTTAAAAAAACAAAACAAAAAACAAGGGTTGACAGCAACAAGAATATTCTCTTACCATTTGATGGAGGTTTTTTTTTTCTTGACAGCCATTATCTTGAATTTTGTTCATTGAAGTTATGTGTGTAGAGAAGAATAAACACTAACCTATTTACAGGCACACAGATCTAAATTGTGTTTAATTGTGAACCTCTCTGAAACGTGTATACACATTTCCATTAAATTATCCAGTTCCTTGTCTCAGGACTTATCTGCTGTCGAAATACCTGCCCCTTTGCCATATGAAAACTACTGAATACTGAAAAATTTTACTTTTGCTTGTTTCTAGACTTCACTGTGGATCTATATATATATTTAAATATTATTTTTTTCCATTAAGCCTGGCCATTTTAAGGATCAGTAATATCCCTCATTCACTGCCTGTTTACTCTGTAGTACATCCATTCTAGACCATGAGAAGGGTGCCAGACTAGCATAACAATTATTCCTTACACACTAAAGTGATTTCAACTATTCTCTTGCATTCATTACACATTCAAATTAGAGAATTTATGATCTATTCTTTAAATCATCTAGCATTGTCTGTTTTCGCCCATAACTAAACACATACATCAGATATACCTTTTGCTGCTAGGGAATTTTCATTCTTAGTTCAACAGTACTCTGCAGGGTATTGTAGTTCAAGCACAAACATCCAATTTCCCTAAGGGCATAACATCAGACTAGATGATATTCAGGTTCTAGTTCAAATTGTGATAGGCCTTGTAAGACTTAACTTGCATATTTTATATTTATTCTGCATAATTTATTCTGACTTGCATATAAAGTAATGCTCAGTGCATTTTTTTTCTTCTGAACTTGTTCAGAACTTTTTGCTCTTATGTTTCAAATCAATTTTAAATCCCAAATGTACAAGACTGCAAGGACAATATTTTATTTTATTCTAATAGTAAAATCATTAAATCTTCTCACTGTGCTAGAAGTATACTTTTTATTAGTTGTTTAAAGCTGTGTTTATTAAATCACAGAACTTCATCTCATAAAAATATTTACCTCTTTTAAGCAAAATGTACTTTCTATATAGATTGTTTATTGTATCTGCTAAACTTTAAATACCTTTCAAAATATGCATTGTATTGAAATGTATGATCATTTTCTATAACATTTTTTTTTCTGTTTATCATATGTTCAAGATCATTAATTATATATCAATAGTATAATTAAGTATAAGTACTAAGATATGTACTGCACTTGTCTGCACCGACCCATTACACTGATTATCTATTGAAAAATACCAATAATATAAACATTAAAATAATTCATATAAAACATTTTTTTGCAATTATACCTATATTTAAAATGTGATACTGATTACAGTTTGATCACTCAAAATGTATTTTCTTTATATAGTTGAAGCAAATCTGTGGGGAAATATTAATGGTTGGCATTCAGCATCTATGTTGGCTATCTAAAATGAATGAAAGTGAGTGTAATTAATTGAGGAAGACTCATGAGACTCATTTTTTTAAATATATACCCATAACGGTTTCCATCATTGAATACATTCACAAATATAAAGAAAAACTAATTTTGTTGCTTTAATGTAAAGTTAAAAAAACACATCAGGTGAAGATTGGTTTGGCCTCTGGATAAACTGTTGCTTGAATGTCTGGCTCTGTATTTCCATACCAACAATCTGCATCCTAAACTATCCAACAGGCGTGGTTGAATAGCTGATAAGTAGAAATGACCTCCCTAATCTCTGGATGCATTTCTGGCACTGTCAGCTGCCTCCTTTCAATGGACACCAGTGTCCTCTAAATGATAACCATCATGAGCACTGACCATAAAAACAATGGAACTCATAAAAGCTAGTCATACTATCTCTCCATTAAGACTCAATAATTTTTTGGCTAAATAGAGAGTTTTTTTTCTCTTATTTTTTTCCCTTTTACTTGAAAGGAAACTCAATACTCTGTGGTTGGCCTTACACAAAATATATTTTACTGAGAATAACTCAATCCAACCTTCTTAGTCCTGAACAATTTATTGTTGAGAATCATTCTCCCCTTTCTTCTCTTTTTTCTGGTTTACCTTTTGTGGGTCATTGTTGGAACTCTTACAATTTCTAGTCAAATTAAACCTGTTCTACTATTGAAAGAACAGAGTTTCTCTTGTGCCCTAAAATGCATTTACGAGAAGGTGAGATTGGGGTATGCAATTACCTTTGTGACTCCTGGACAACCCCTTATTGTTGTTACATTTAATTACTCCTTATCTAAACTCCTTATCATAAACTAATGTAACAAAAACAAAAAGCATATATTACATTACTGTATCTCCCTATTCACAGCTGCAATACAGTCTATATCACAGAAAAATATGAAAGAGCCTGTGTTAGATAATTGGACTTGTCACGCAGGACCATCACTGAGTGGGATTATAGCTACAGTGGTTTTTGCAAATCATGAAGTTGTAACTAACAGATTGAACTGATGTCAAGACAGAGGAGCTCATTGCTCATAATTTGTAAATGGAGTATATATTGGAGTAGCACTTTGATTATCCACTTAAACATATAGCAGTTTGACATATATTTTAAATCTATGTCTAACATCATGCATATACAATGGTGGAAATAACAATAATCCCAAGGCACACCAATTTCCCCAGAGGAAGGCTTCCTAGCCAAAACGTCTGGGTTTTTATTTCTCCTGCTCTCGGTCAGTATACCTTTTAAATGGGTGATTACATTTAGCACTTTATTACTGTGGTTTTTGGTACTATTAATGGGCTATGCACTATACTATGCACTTTCCTTCTGTTAACATATTCTGATGTACTTTGTATGCATGAATAAAACTCTTTTTTATGTGCAAATTGGTGTGCCTTGGGATTATTGTTATTTCTATTATATATTTATATCCGGTGTGGGTACGGATTTTTTTCCCCTTAAAGAGCACCCTGTACCTTTAAAACCACATATTCACCACCCATTTTCAGTTGAGCTCTTCCTATACTATATGTGTATATACAATGGTGGAACTGACTGACATTAAATCAACTCTGTCAGTTCCCAAAAACAATTTTGTTGTTATTTATAAGCAATGTTGTAAATGTATTCTGCTGTTTTGTAGTTATGAATAGTCTCTTTGTTTTTTTTATAAGTCATAGCCCTTCAGAAGATTTGTGTTTCTTTCTTATGAACAACCATTATTCAAAATGTGCACTTTATTTTACTTTTTCTCATTTGATTTTAATCTTGCTTCTCCTAGAACTTCAATGGCACATTTTATTTACTATTGCAAGAATTGAAACGCAGCTGCTCCAAAGTTCTTTTCATTTAAATTCATCAGTGCTTGTTTCAGAATCTATGCACAAACAGCTTTGGTTTTAAAAATGTATTCAACAAATTCTGTCAGAATAAACACCACAAAAAAAAAAGATAATAATGTTTTTTTTACAAATATATATCAAAAAAGGCAAATACATTATGATATATTAAAAATAATTTTTAGTATATTTTTTTTTGTCCCAAATACTATTCGTCTTGAATGTTGTTGGGTAGGTTCAGGAGTATATTTTTAAATACTTTAAATGTTATACTATGCAAAATGAATAAGTAATGTGTAGTCTATTGAAAAGTCATTTCTTTTTGCACTTCACATCCAATGCACTGCCATAAATGCAATTATTTGCTTTCTTCCTTGTACTTTTCATGTGTATTGTGACATTTGACAGCCTATCCTATATTTATACGATTGTTACATGATGGCTTCATTACTGTCAGCCTGTTGGAAAACAAATACGAACACTGCTGTCCCATGAACGTTCAGATCCATTGGAAATTACAGAGCGGTACTAAATTTTGGGATTGTTTGACAATGGCTTGTTCCTTTTTAGTATAATTTGGCTAAAATATCTTTGTTACATATTTTTAAACTTTACAATGCATTTGTATTAGAGTGCAAAATATACACCTATGTTTTCATAACTATAATAATGTGTATATGTATTTAGACAATGTTACCACTTTAAAATACTTATCTTGACCCTTCTTGAGTTTATTAGCAATAACCTAGTAAACGCCTATCTCTTTAAAGATGAGATAAAATTTGATTGCAATAACAGCAATGAACTTGTAATTGATCTGACTGGTATGGTTTACTTGTACCTCTTTGCTCTTGTGATAAAGTATACTTGTTTCTTTCTTATTTGATACTTCATAGATGTACAGATCGGTTTTGACAATAAATGCTTAGGATAATGCCCCAATCTAGAAGGTGGACTTCAGACCCTTAAGTCATAGCCAGATACTCCTTAGATTTAAGTCACTTTATATGTGGATTAACATTAATATTTGATAAAGGTGGTTGGACGCTTAGCAGTGAAATGTATATCAGCAATGTTTCACCTCTAATACTTGGAGGTTTTCCCTATGTGCAAGCTTTAGTTTATAGCAATATCTCACTTTTGGCTTAGTGCAGCGAAGTCCAAAGTAGGTTAAAAGTAGTGAACAGGAACAACTATTTAGTATCTAACTGTGACAGCTTTAGATTACAGTTACTGAGTTACTCTCATATACAGGTCTTTTTTTCTCTCTTGCTTTCTCCTCCCTCATTCTATCTATATACACCTTGTTAAATATATGGTAGATTGCATAATTGCTAATTAGCAATTGAGATAATTTCTATATTCTTCTCCTCCTAGTACTATTATGTTTATTAATCTTGCTTGATTTACTATATGTATTTAATTTAATTTTAGGTTATTATTACCTAGATGGTAATTTCATTGCCCTCATTTGCATTTAACTTTTTTCACTGACATGCTTCTAGTCTGGATTTGGAATTAGTATAACAATCTTATTCTCCTGGTCATTCTAAATATACAGCTAGGAGAATATTGACTTAACAGTAAACATCAAGCTAGTCCCTATACTATAAACTGAACCTCATTTTGGAAGCCTACGTGAGACCTGTTTAACATGGAGCTCTCTAGTTTGCATATTTTTCATTAGATAGACTTGAGGGATTTTATGTATAAAACTCTAGACATCCAGACATCAATATATGACGATCTTAATTTTATTTTGTTTATTTATGAATAGGCAAATATAACAACGCTTTCAAAGGCATACACATATGAATATTGCTGTAACTTTGTATAATGCTTATTTTATATATGTCTTATGTGAGAGAGGTTACTTTTAATGGATTTTGTTTATTACACTTAACTAGCTGATATTTCAGCATATTGTGTATATACACCCTCTAATTTTTTTATACACAGAGGCGATTTTTTTCCACTGGTGGAGGGAGTCCCTTAGATTTTTCTGGGAGTCTTCTCTCCTTTTCGTCTTGCTGGTTTAATAATTGTGCATGGTACTTTTCACAGAGTACATTTTTTTTTGTGGCACAGATGCTGAGATAAGAAAGCTTGTAAATGACATTTTGGCCTTCCTCTGTTGCAATGTCAGTTTTATTGGTAATAGGCACTAATAAATAACCCCTACTTTCTGATATGAAAAGGAACTGATAAATATGTCATGAAATGTTTTCGGTGTGATTTATACTCAGAGGTATAGGACACTCTCCTAAATAATTATTAGATAGTGATTTAGTCTTTTCATAAATAAAAAAAACTTGTTGTTGAAGTTTGAACGTTCCTTTAATATAGATGACTAAGATAAGCAATCATAAATGAAAGTAAATACAAATCAGAAAGACATGGAAAGTCACCGATTACATAAATGTTCAGACCATTGACAGATCGTTATCAAGATGCAGCCATACTGTACATAACTATGATGTACTACAAGAGGAAAGAAACCTGCAAATTTACGTACAACAATTTTAATTAAGTTTAAATTGATTTCTAAGAAGATAAATGGCTTCATTATTGCATCTCACACAGAGCACCTTAGCTGGAAATTAAACATCACTGGAAACTTCCTGACAGTTCACTGATATTAACAGATTTATATTATGTTTTCCTGTTGAATATTTTCTGTTTGATTTATGCATGTAAACATGTTGAACAAGCTTGCAGTGTTCTTGACTTAATTCTTACAGCCACATTAAAGCATCAGTTAAACAAACTGACAAATGGTTGAATGTTCTTTAAGATTGTCTGTTTCAGCACATATCTTTGTTAGACACTCTGAATGCTGCTGTTAATGCATAATTTATTGTAAAGAGAAAGAGTATAGCTTGGTTGCTTCATCTAAGTGTTGCTTCTAAGTGTGTAGTTAGAGATATTCTGGAGAGTGTTGCTTCTAAGTGTGTGGAGATATTCTGAAGAGTGTTGCTTCTAAGTGTGTAGTTGGAGATATTCTGGAGATAACCTGGAGGTAATCTGAGGTATTCAGGAGGATAAAGAAAAAAGTTAAGAGTTGTTTGATTTAAATTATTCTCCTCATTGGAATGGCAGACTTAGTTCAGTGTAATAGTTGCTATGCATTTGTTTCACGTTCCACTTTTTAGAGATTTGGTTGTTGTCTAATCTGTAGACAGTTCTCTATCTTGCGGCAGGAGATTGTATTTTTGAAGTCTGAGATTTGTAAATTATCTGGTGAACAAACTCAGACTGGAACTACTACAAAGCAACTGCCGCAGAGACATACTAGGAATGGCAGATTGATTACTGTAGGATCTGGTAGACTTAGAGTTGTGGATAGAAGGCATTTTGCACAGTCTGTTGCTCTACATAATTCATTTTCTGCATTTTCAGAGTGTAATGGTGTCGTGGAGAGAGGCACTGAGGATAGTGGTGTTGTGGAGAGAGGCACTGAGGTTAGTGGTGTTGTGGAGAGAGGCACTGAGGCTAGTGGTGTTGTGGTGAGAGGCACTGAGGCTAGTGGTGGTGTGGAGAGAGGCACTGAGGCTAGTGGTGTTGTGGAGAGAGGCATTGAGGCTAGTGGTGTTGTGGAGAGAGGCACTGAGGCTAGTGGTGTTGTGGAGACCGGCTTGGAGACTATGGTGAGGCCTAATAGAAAGCAGTTGTTGTTGGGGGATTCCATCATAAGAGGTGTGGAGATGGACAATGGTGGTCTTGTGAGGTGTCTTCCTGGAGCTATTGCTCACAGAGACAGGAGACGTAGCTGTAATATTGTTAAGCAAGCAAAGCTGGAAGGGGAATTGGATGTACTTGTCCATCTAGGGACAAATTACTTGGCTTGCAATGAGGTTTCAGAGGTTAAGGAAGTTTTTAGTGTTTTTGCCAATGATAAATGGCAGGTTGCTTCCACACTGTCATTCTCTGAAGTTCTGCCTGTGCATAACACTCAGAACGACAGGCGGATGCGTATTAGGGACTTTAATTTGTGGCTTTGTGAATGGTGTCGGGAGCAAGGATTTGGCTTTATTTCTCATAGTAGCTCTGTTTGGAATGGAAATAAGCTGTACAAAACAGATGGTTTGCATCTTTCTCAAATGGGAACAAATGTTCTCAGTGAGCAGTTCATAGGTTTTGCTAGGATGTATTTAAACTAGGAGGGGGTGGGCAAAAGGGTGATAAAACATCAATCCAATTGTCCCGCAAAACAAGGACAGAAGGTGCTTGTAGCAAATGTGTTAAAAAATGATAAGCTTAGAGTCATGTCTACAAATGCTTGCAGTTTAGGGGAAAAGATCCATGAACTTGTGGCAATAATGGCAACTGATAATGTAGATTTAGTCGCTGTTACTGAGAAATGGTATAATGAGAAAAATGACTGGGACATAGCAATACCAGGGTACTCTTTATATAGAAAAGATAGGGAAGGCAAGAAAGGGGGGGGGGTGGCCCTGTATGTGAAGGATAGCATAAAATCTAGCTTAATAAAAGTTAGTGAGGCAAACATAGAGTCCGTTTGGATTACGTTAGAATTTGGTAATCACCCAGTAACTCGTGTAGGTGTGATTTACAGGCCCCCAGGACAAATTGAAGAGTTGGATAATCTACTAGTTGAGGAAATAGCTAAAATGACAATGAAGGGGGAAGTTATCATCATGGGTGACTTTAATCTTCCTGATGTAAATTGGAAAACAAAATTAGCTACTTGTGCCAGGAGCACACATATTCTAAACTCCCTACTGGGATTGTCTCTAAAACAAGTTGTTGAGGAGCCAACTCGTAAAGAGGCCATACTAGATTTAGTGTTAACAAATGGAGATTTGGTATCAGATATTACTGTAGGTGAAAGTTTAGGATCCAGTGATCATCAGTCAGTGTGGTTTAATATAAGAACAGTGACTGAGTCACACCACACAAAAACAAAAGTTTAAGACTTTAGATAAACAGACTTTTCTAAAATTAGAATATGTGTAGAGGAGTCATTATCAAACTGGAGCAATTTAAATGGAGTCCAAGAGAAATGGGATTATTCAAAAGTCGCACTATTGAAGGCAACAGAAAATTGCATTAGGCTTGTCAGTAAAAGCACTGTGGTACTCCACAGATGTGGCCAAAATAGTTAAAAACAAAAAGGTAGCATTTAGGAATTATAAAAAAACCCAGAGTGAGTAAGACAAAATGATCTATAAGATTAGGCAGAAAGAGGCTAAGCAAGTTATACGAGCTTCCAAATCACACACAGAAGAGAAAATAGCACAGTCAGTAAAAAAGGGGGACAAAACTTGTTTTAGATATATAAATGAGAAAAGAAAAGTAAAACAAGGATTAATTAGATTAAAAACAAAAGAAGGGAGGTATGTAGAAGAGGATAAAGGTCTAGCTGACTGCCTCAATTAATATTTTTGTTCTGTATTTACAGATGAAAATGAAGGAAAGGGACCTCAGTTGAGAAAAGGGATAAATTAGTCATTTATTACACGTGAGTTTACAGAGGAAGAGGTTCTATTTCAACTGTCAAAAGTAAAGAAAAATAAGTCAGTGGGACCAGATGGAATACACCCAAAGCTATTAAAAGAGCTTAGTGGTGTACTAGCAAAACCATTAACAGATTTATTTAACCAATCATTGTTAACAGGACTAGTCCCAGAAGATTGGAAGTTAGCGAATGTTGTGCCCATTTACAAGAAAGGTAATAGGGAGGAGTCGGGCAACTATAGGCCAGTAAGCCTTACTTCAGTAGTGGGGAAAGTGATGGAAACCATGTTAAAGGATAGGATTGATGAACATCTAAAAACACATGGATTTCAAGATCAGAGACAACATGGGTTTACTTCAGGGAGATCATGCCAAACTAATCTTATTGATTTTTTTGATTGGGTAACTAAATTTATAGATCAGGGTGGTGCAGTAGACATTGCGTACCTAGATTTCAGTAAGGCTTTTGACACTGTTGCACATAGAAGGTTTAGCAATAAACTGCAATCTTTAAGTTTGGATTCCAATATTGTTGAATGGGAAGGCAGTGGCTGAGTGACAGACAACAGAGGGTTGTAGTTAATGGAATATATTCGAAGCTTGAACTTGTCACCAGTGGGGTACCTCAGGGATCTGTACTTGGACCCATTCTCTTTAATATTTTTATTAGTGATATTGCAGAAGGTCTTGATGGTAAGGTATGTCTTTTTGCTGATGATACTAAGATATGTAACAGGGTTGATGTTACAGGAGGGATAAGAAAAATGGCAAATGATTTAGGTAAACTAGAAAAATGGTCAGAATTGTGGCAACTGACATTTCATGTGGATAAGTGCAAGATAATGCATCTTGGACGTAAAAACCCAAGAGCAGAGTACAGAATATTTGATAGAGTCCTAACCTCAACATACTGATGGAACACAAATACCCGGAAGCAGAAGTCTCGCCCGAACGTATGCACGACGATGGCGCTTGCGTTCCACCGATGGAACGCAACCACCCGGAAACGGAAATAACGTCCGGACGTCAGAACCACCATTTCCTAATGAACTCTCATTATGTACTATTTAAAAAGGATATGTTTTATACACCCCACAGCAACTGATAAAGCCTCTGAATGAGGCGAAACGCGTTTTGCACTAAGGACTCATCCTACTACCTACCTTCAATACTGTAAGGTCTTGTTATTTTTATATTTTTTATCTTTATTTTACTATACTTGTGCACTTTATAATAAAGCACTTTGGAACAACATACCTATCTCTGAGAGCATACTTGGCTACCAGCAATATAAAGAAGGCAGTGGGAACCTTATATCCCACAATACTGGAAAATTGAGCCCTATCTATAGGCTCTTTATTTGTGAGTGATATTCCACCTACCTCACCATATTCTCTATATTTTATAGACAATATTGCACTATTATGTGTCTTATTTCTCTTTGATTTTAGGATTACCTAATATTGAAAACTCTCATAATAAGAAGAATCTCCACCTTATATTGTATGTATTGTAACTTGTTGTGAGGTGAAAGGGAAACTCACTAAGGTGTTTTGAGGACTTCTTATTTCATTTTTTTTGTGTGTCACACTGTTATACTACTATATTGTACAGTAAATCATTTGGGCCTAACGTGTCCCTATGGGAATTTACCTCCCTCCCAGTTATGCAGCATTATCTTGTGATTGCCATTAGAAGTCTGTGGGGGGGAGGGGGAGTTTATGATTAAATTATGGTCTGTCTAGCTGAGCCCTGCAATGGAGCATTGTGATGTTTCCCTGTAATAAGGAGCAAGTTCCCTCGACCTTAGCTCAGGGGGAGAGTAAGTGCTAGTGGTTAACCAGTCTATATGGTGTCCAACAAAAGTAAAGCAAAAATAAAGCAAAAGGAAATCCAGAAGCAATGAAAAATGTTTCGGCTGTAATATTGTATTGAGCAGGCATCTGATGTAGTGAAGTAAGTTGGAGAGACACACAGAGTCAGGAACTCCCGTATTTTCAGGTTATAATGCCCTCCTCTGTTCTTCCATGGATTTCACCTTATTGTTGGTGACTTGTTGCTGTTTTTGAAGAACTTCGAGTTTTTGCTTCTAGTGATCCGTAAAGTAGCACCTTCTATGGCATCCTTAATGTAGTCCATATCCACAGTCTCAGTTCTGTCAGCATGGTTTTTAGCTGCACAGCCATGACCGGGTGGAGTGGAGTGCTTAATGGGTACACAGATTGACAGACTGTGTGATGCCCCTGCTTCTGGATCAAAGGGGGTACTCTCCAAAGAACTGGAGGATTCTTTACCCTCCAGTGCCATTTTGTTTTGGAGCGACCGCTGAGAGCCCTGCAGGAGTTCCCTGATGTCTTGGCTTGCTGTACTCTTGTCGGCCTTTGCTTTTTCATTTATTGCCTTTCCACAGCAGGTAGGGGGTGGTTGAGCAAATATGTGCCGGTTTTCACCTCTAAAACCTCAATGATGTTGTCTGTAAATCTTGGAGATCATGCCCATGCATCCACTCTGTTCAACAACTAGCTCTGCCCCCCAGCACCAGCTATATTAATCATCTAAAATAAGGGAAATTTTTACATTATTTTATTTTGTGCAGTTCATAATTGCATCCATTAAGCTTTCTTAGACAGATGTGGTATTAAAGGGTTACTACAATCAAAACAGTGTTTAAGAAAATTTATTTTAGTTAGAGTAACTCTTCTTATAAAACAAACAAACAAAAAAAACAAAAAAAAAATTTCACTTAGAGGCCCATACACTTTCACCATATGATTCTGCTACTCCCCACTGCCCTTCCTATTGTGTTTTTATACCCAACCTCTTCAAGATTGTAAGCTCTTTTGGCAAGAGTTCTCATCATTGCTCCTGTTATATTGTTACATTTCTATTATTACATTTTTCCCTTTATAATATTGAAAAGTGCTGTTGAATATGTTGGTGCAATATAAATGACAATAATAATAATTGTGCAAACAATAATTTCAGCTTTGTCTGTTTGGGACCCTTCAGACTTTCTTGAAAATTTAGCAGACTCTATTTCTGAGAGAAAATATTTGCTCAACAAAGCTGAATGTGTTTTTTTTTTTTTTAATTTAGAAAAAATGTAAACTATATTGTAAAATGGTAATACACTAGAAACCTGGATGTGTACTTCTGTATGCTTTCATTTAGAAATCCATTTTCATACAAAAAGGTATTTTTTTTTTCAATCTAATTTTAGGTCACAAAAAGGTTAAAGTTAAGTATATTATCATGTGTTCATTGTATTGTTCATTTACACAGTGCTCTCCTACTTCAGAAAAAGCAAACACCAGTCTTTCATTCCTGAAATATTTTGTTTGTCAAGGAAGTTTTAAAATATTTGTGCACTTAGGAAATATAATTGAAACTGTTCACAATTGATTTTGGGAATACATACACTATACACAAATATATATATATATATATATATATATATATATATATATAATATATTTATAGCAATATTTTTTTTTCAGCTTCATTAAAAAAAAAAAAAACATAATTATTAATTTGATAGTTCCAGCAAAAAACTTCAGACATGGAAATACAATACCATGGGTTCTATTAGTTTCACTGTATGAAAGTAAATTATATGTTTTATGTTAAAAAACAACTCACTTGTCATTATGTTAAAAAACAACTCACTTGTGCAGTACCAACCATTGCCGTTTCTTCTACTTGCTGCCTACACAAGCCAGTTCTTACTATATTGTGATTGTGAGTGTAAAATATACTTATGGGACTGACTTGGACAGTAAGCTGAAAATATAAGGATATCTGTTCCTGACCAATTTCTATAACATGTAGAATCTGTTCCTGACACACTCTCTATAAGTCTGTTTGAAAATTACATTAACGCATGTCAAACTTTACTAATGCTACCTAGGATAAATTAGCAATTGAAACAAAGCAAATTAAAACATTAATATTGATCCTATCAACTGTATATGGAATAGTTTTTGTTTTGTTTATTATAATAAAACAATGTACAGTCATATAGAAAATTATATTTTAACAGTACATTGTACACTAACTTTAAATTTAATCCTTAGTGTATATATAATATATAATATAGGCATCCATTTATATTACACTACATAAAAAATTACTTTCTCACCCCTCCAGGTGGCATATAATTTGTTTGTATTCCTCATTCTTGGGTCCTCTACCAGAAAACTGGGAGTCTGAGGGTTATGGACAGCACCTGGAATCTGCAGAAGCCACACCTCAAATTTAGGGGTCACCTGAGTGCTCCTACTGGAACTACTACCACCTCCACTTTCCATAGCCTTTCTACCACCTCTTTCATTCGTTGGTATTTGCCCACTTCCTCATGTTCTTTCTTCCTGACGTTATGGCCACTAGGTATTGTCATGTCTACCACCAATACAGTCCTCTGTTTCTTGTCTATCACCACTACTTGCTTGTCAGTCTGGATCGGAAAGTCCCACAGGATCTTAGCCCTGTTATTTTCAACTACTCTTTGTAGTATCTCCCATCTGGACTTAGATAGGTCCAGCCCATATTCTGTGCATACATTTTGGTACAAAATCCCAGAAACTTTTGTTGTGCTTCTAAGTGTATGCCGTCCCTTCTAACATCTTTCACCTGATTGCTATATGCTGGTATTTCTCAGAGGCCTATTTGCACAGTCTTCACATTGTGTCCTGTCTTGTGTAGTAGACCGAAGCTTTTATTGATTTTGTTATGAGTGCCTGTTCCTGTATTGCTAGGATTAGTGCCTCAGTGCTGTCTTTCAGTCCTGTATTTTGGATGTAAGTGGATGTTGCTATCCTCCTTGCGTCTTCCTCATGGTTGTCATGTGTTTGTGGTACCCTCAGGTACTTATAGCTTTTCTCTACATCTCCTACTTGCACTTAAATTTTTGCGATCATTCGCTTACACAAATCTAGTCTGGACGACATTTCAATGTCCTTGAGGTATATCTTAGTTAGGTGGCTCAGTGGGTCAATGTCCCACATACGTTTGGCATACAGCTTGATTCCATCCATGTTGAGTAGGTGATTACTGATCTGGCTAAAGGGATTGCGGCCTATACAGAACAGCATTAGAGATCATGCATCACCTTGGTATATGCCAAATTTGATGTTAACTTGTGTTGTTTTCCTCTTGCCTCTTGAGCTCTTGATGAAGGCTATTAGGGTCTTGCTGACCTAGTATATGGCCAAGCAATCCAGTATCCATGTGTGTGGGTTTGTGTCATAGGCTTACCTGTAGTTAATTCAGGTTGTGCACAGATTTGTCTGTATGGTCTTAGAAACACATGTGATTGCGTGATCTACCAGCAGTTGGTGTTTTGATCCTCTGTTGTTGTTTCCAATTTCCTTTTGAGTATTGCTTACATTCTGACTCATATTCGATCTTGGAGGCTATGATGCTTGACTGGACATTCCATGTTGTAAGGGGGGAAGACAAGTTGGTAGTTAGATTGTGTTATTTATTTGTGAAGGTCCTACATGACCTGTATTGTTCTGCCTTGTGTTAGTCAGTGAAGGTTGGAGCCTGTTACATAGTTACATAGTAACATAGCTGAAAAGAGACTTGCGTCCATCAAGTTCAGCCTACCTCACATTTGTTTTTTGCTGTTGATCCAAAAGAAGGCAAAGAAACCCAGTTTGAAGCACAATTTTGCAACAAGCTAGGAAAAAAATTCCTTCTTGACCCCAGAATGGCAGTCAGATTTATCCTTGGATCAAGCAGTTATTACCCTACATTGAAAGATTATATCCTTGAATATTCTGTTCTTGCAAGTATGCATCTAGTAGCCGTTTGAACATCTGTATGGACTCTGATAAAACCACTTCTTCAGGCAGAGAATTCCACGTCCTGATTGTTCTTACAGTAAAAAAAACCTTTCCTTTGCCTTAGATGAAATCTTCTTTCTTCCAGTCTAAACGCATGGCCTCGTGTCCTATGTAAAGTCCGGTTTGTGAATAGATTTCCACACAATGGTTTGTATTGGCCCTGAATATATTTGTATAATGTTATCATATCCCCTCTCAGGCGACGTTTTTCTAAACTAAATAGGTTTAAATTTGTTAACCTTTCTTCATAGCCGATATGTTCCATTCCTTTTATTAATTTTGTAGCCTGCCTCTGCACTTTTTCTAGTGCCATAATATCCTTCTTTAGAACAGGTGCCCAAAATTGCACAGCATATTCAATATGGGGTCTTACCAGTGATTTATAAAGAGGCAAAATGATATTCTTGTCCCGAGAATGAATGCCCTTTTTCATGCATGACAATACCTTACTGGCCTTGGCCACTGCTGATTGACATTGCACATTGTTGCATAGTTTGTTGTCTATAACAATTCCCAAGTCCTTTTCGTGTGTTGTTATCCCTAATTCGCTTCCATTAAGGGTATACGTTGCTTGTGTATTCTTTACGCCGAAGTGCATAACTTTGCATTTTTCAACATTAAATTTCATCTGCCATTTGAGTGCCCAGTCCCCAGTCTATCTAAATCCCTCTGCAGCAAAGTAATATCTTGCTCACATTGTATTGTTTTACAAAGTTTTGTGTCATCTGCAAACACTGAAACATGACTTTCAATGCGGTCTTCAAGATCATTTATAAACATGTTAAATAGAAGGGGTCCCAGAACAGACCCCTGAGGGACATCACTTGCCACCTCTGTCCAGCTTGAAAATTTACCATTAATGACAACTCTTTGTACTCTGTTTTTAAGCCAATGTTCTACCCAAGAACAAGCATTTTCATCTAGACCGATTTCCTTGAGTTTGAACACTAATCTATTGTGTGGAACTGTATCAAATGCCTTGGCAAAATCCAAATAGATCACATCTACGGCAACACCCTGATCTATACTTCTACTTACTTCTTCGTAGAACGCAATCAAGTTAGTTTGACATGACCTGTGCTTCATAAAACCATGCTGATTTTTGCTGATAACCATGTTCTTCTCAAGGAATTCTTGAATATTATCCCTTAATAACCTTTCAAATATTTTACCAGCCACAGAAGTTAAGCTCACAGGTCTATAATTTCCAGGCAAGGATTTTGAACCCTTTTTGAATATAGGTACCACATCTGCCTTCCTCCAATCCTCCGGAACACTTCCTGAAAGAAAAGAATCTTGAAAGATTAAAAACAGAGGTTCACTTATTTCTACACTTAGTTCCTTAAGTACACATGGATGGATACCGTCAGCTAGCAGCTAGTTGATTTTTTGCTGATAGGCATTCATGGAGCATTGTTATTTTTTTAATCAGTAGGTGTGGATCATTTCAGGTCTTGGGGCTTACTAACTCTTCGTGTGGGCTACTTTTTGTTGGATATCTCCTAGGTGTTATGTGATGCTTCTTTCTCCCAGATGTCCTTTCAGTACTATTCAGTCTCTGCTATGCTAATGGGTGGGTTTTAGATTGATATGTTGTGGTTACCCTGCAGCTGCGCATACACCTTGGATGGTTCTATGGTAAACAGGGCATTTATTATTTTAGTCTCTGCTTCTCTGGTGCATCTGCTCAGTATGGTTGTCAGTGCTGTCAGCCCTTACTTAGCTGCTTCCAGTGCCTCTGATATGGGCACTCTTGCATTTCATCAGTAGCCAGGACCTATCCTTGATCTTTCCACCTGTGTTATGAAGTTGATACAGTTTACTAACTTCTTTACTTGTTGCCTTTATCTTGCTGTTTAGTGAATGAGTGAGTGTGCTAGATTTTATTGTTTAGTGTGCATTGTTCACATCATAGATTTGTTCTGAATGTTTATATATTTATATATGGTATGCGTTTAAAACAGATGGGTATATATTCTTGCCACCTTCAGAAGTTCAGATAATTTTCTGCATATTAAGATAGAATAGACCTGACTCTATAAACTAGACTTGACTCCATAGACTAGAATCTTTAATAACTGCATAATACATATACATTAACACCTTAAGAACCGGTGATGATTCAGGACCGTCATCAGCATTTTTGCGTCGCCGACCGCTGACGGTCCTGAACCGTCACAATGGTCATTGTACTTACCCGATCGCTGTTGTTTCCCCGGCGGCGATCCGCAGTGCTCTCGGTGTGGGGAGACTGCCTGCAGCCTAGACAGTCTCCCCATGGCGGATTAGGAACCCTGGGGCCATGTGATCGCTCAATTATGTATGTGTATATAAATATGATATATAGACATATGTCTATATATCATATATATATAATGTCATACTAAGTGTATTTTTATATTAATATATAAATATATTAATATAAAAATACACTTATAATTAAAGTACACATATATATAACTATATATTATATATATTATTATAAAACACAAATAATAAGTAAATTAAGTTAAATAAAAAAATGTAAAAATAATAATAAAACTTTTAAAAAAATTATATCTATATGAAATTTTATTCTAACTGTATTATATATATTTATATCAAAATACACTTTGAATGAAATTGTATATATATCTATGTATGTATAAATAATACAAAATATACATGTCCATATACAAAATTACATAAGTATGCATATATATATTTAAATTCTACGTGTGTATTTATGTAATATTTTTACATAATTAAGTAATTTTATTGATTGCAATTTGAGGGACCTGCCTGACAACCCAGGCCGAAAGTCCAGATAATTTAATTTGCTAGCACTATATTTTACCCTGTAACTTTTTACGACACCCTAAAACCTATACATGGGGGGTACTGTTTTACTCGGGAGACTTCTCTGAACACAAAAAGTAGTGATTCAAAACAGTAAAACATATCACAGCGATGATATTGTCAGTGAAAGTGACTTTTTTTGAATTTTTCACCACAAACAGCCTTTTTACTGGTGATATAATTGTTGTGATATGTTTTCATGTCTTGAAACACTAATATTTGTGTTCAGCAAAGTCTCCCGAGTATAACAGTACCCCACATGTACAGGTTTTATAGCGTTTTTGAAAGTTACATGGTCAAATATATGGGTCAAATATTTTTACATTGAAAATTGCCAGGTTGGTTACGTTGTCTTTGAGAGCGTATGGTAGCCCAGGAATGAGAATTATCCCCATGAAGGCATACCATTTGCAAAAGAAGACAACTCAATGTGTTGTAAATGGGGTATGTCCAGTCTTTTTTAGTAGCCACTTAGTCACAAACACTGGCCAAAATTAGCGTTCAATTTAGTTTTTTACTTTTTTCACACACAAACAAATATGAACGCTAACTTTGGCCAGTGTTTGTGACTAAGTGGCTACTAAAAAAGACTGGACATACCCCATATTGAATACCCTGGGTTGTCGACTTTAAAAAAAAAATGTATATTTGGGGTGTTATTCAGAGATTTTTGACAGATAAGAGTGTTACAATGTCACTATTTATAAATTTAAAAAATGTATGTTTTGAAACCGCAATATCCTACTTGTACTTATAGCCCTATAACTTGCAAAAAAAAAAAGCATGTAAACACTGGGTATTTTTAAACCCAGGACAAAAATTTTAATCTATTCATCAGTTTTTTTTCATTAGCTTTTGTAGATGAGTAAAAGATTTTTCAAGTAAAAGTAAAAAAAGTGTATTTTTTTAAATTTTTCATAATTTTTTTTTTTAATTAAATTACATGAGATTATATAAATAATGGTATTTAAAGAAGCCCTTTTTGTCCTGAAAAAAACAATATATAATTTGTATGGGAACAGTAAATGAGACAGCGGAAAATTACAGCTAAACACAAACATCACAAAAGTGTAAAAAGAGGCCTGGTCGCAAATGTACAACATTGCAAAAACAGTCAGGTCCTGGGGGGGAGGGGCCGGACCGGTATGCTAAACAGATGCACAATGGAGTAGCTCCCGAGACACTCAACAGTTTTGACGATTAAAAGCTACTTTCACACTCACCCGACGACTAACAGCTTTGGTCCCGGTCCCCACCCTGAGGCCCGTCGGATTGTCTCAACACCGGCACTCAAAGCACCAGCAAAGCGGACACAGTGCACAGAGGCTGCATCCAAAATGGCAGAGCCTGTATGCCAAGCTACCCACGATCGAGGGCTGAATGGAGCACCCACCTCTCCTGACTTTACATGGACGCACTACAGATGCGGACTGAAAGTAAACAAGCACGTTCAAGTCATAACCCCACAAGCCAAGCAAAGTCGGAGCTAAACTGAGCAAACCCAAAGCAACAAACCACGGAGTAGGATACTGCCACAGTGCTCTGGCCTTACCTGCCATACCACCCAGATCACCACATGGGGGCAGAAACACAAGGATCTGCAACAAACAGCCGACATACTGCATCCAATGAAAGGCACGGCTACTAGGACTGGTCTCCCGCCTAAGACAGGCACCCGACTAGACCACAGGTCAACCATAAAAGGACTACCACCATACTACATTGACACTTAATTGGACTGGAATCAACATAACAGCCTCCAGACCCCTTCCCAAATTTAAAACTCCCTCACGTCCAAAGAAGGGTCTCTAAATATGCAACAGCAGAACATCACCTCGCCGACATGGAGTCCACTTGGGGTGAAAAAGCTACAGGGCAATCTTAAATGCTAATGTTTCCTCTGTTTTATTACCTTTGCCTCCCAGCTACTAACTATCTAGATTAAGGTTAGCACAACATGCAATCACATATTCTATGCCTAGTCAGACAAGTAGTATGTTTCACCACATTGCTAAGCAGTTTAACATGTACTTAATCACAAAGCTTTGGTCATATAATGTTTACATCTGTCATGTTGCACCACTTTGTCATTCCTCGATTAATCTTATCTAACATGACCATACGCCCTACCAGCATGATCATTCTGATGTTATTCTAATGTTAAACTATAACCTTTATAAAAACAAAAAAGAGTGCTGTACATCTGACATGTAATATATGCTGCTGGATAATCTTTTCTGATGCCAACTGCAATGTCTCTGTAAACCTGTAAGTTTTGCAAAGCACTACAAAAATAAAGAATTTAAAAAAAACAGTCAGGTCCTTAAAGGGTTAAAACGTGTATATTTTATTAAATAAATATTTAAAAGTCACATTTTTGTTTGTTAGTTCAATTGATAACATGGTACGAAAGGGGGGTGTTGTCAAATTCTATTTACTATTGAGCTTCTCTTTAAACAATTAAGTGACATTTTCAGTGTATTTTGAAGTAAACTGTGTAGGGTTAAAGGTGGCAAAGATTTCTAACTAATTTAAATAGATAAGTATGAAGGGATCGCAATTGTTGAAAAATATGATATCTTGTCCATTTGTCCCTGTTATCTTTTTTTTGTGGATAAACCCCTCATTTAAAACTCAGATTATTTCATATTCCAAGCATTCAGTGATAATTGAGATAAGCAAATATGCAAAGTAACTGTGTGTTGCTTTTTCTTAAATCATAAACATCATTCCACAGACAAGTCCTATCACAATTTTTCTACTATAATTCAATGTTAAGTAAACAAAAATCCAAAGGAAATCATTATGGTTTTTTTTAGATTTATGACAGTACACAACAAAGAGAAAGGTCAATTATGAATGGCTACATCTGTATTATTGATATAATGCTAACAGAATGGCAGATTTGGCACTGCTTTCTGATAAATATGTCACAATAATACATAATAAAGGACTGTGCGTGAATGTAACAAACCAGCACCCATCATGATAATCAACTGTAGAATCTTAGTTAAAAATAATTGCTCTTCATCCACTATCCAGTTAAAGTCAGTGGAATATTTGCTTTGGTTATGTACTCTTCAAATAAGAGTGCAATTAACCTGCTAATTTCCTATGTACTTTTAAAGCATTGCTAAAACAATGTCTGTAAAAAAAACAAAAAAATCCCAACGAATGTGAATACGAGTAATTTGCTGAGGCATGCATGACATTTACTGGAATTAAATTTGTATTGCATTATCAAATCCTGTCAAATATGAACTCAAATGAGCTATAAATGTCTGTTAATCTGGATAAGCTATCTTGTTAAGCTATCTTGATTAACCTGTAAAATGTGCTAATCTTTACTGAAAATGCTTTCATATGGTCTCCCATAATAAAAAGAAGGAATGTCAAAACATTATTTATTACTCGTATACATGTTACGCAACAATGGAAGGTGTTAAATTGTTCTTTAGGAGTATTATTGTTGTACAGAGAAGGGGGAGCCAGAGTATATATTTGTAAGCCAACAATAGGAAGATGGTACCTAAGAATGGTAAATGGGTAAATATGCTATATACTTCATTATTCTGCATTACTCACCCCAGTATATACCTCATAAAAAAAAATGTGTGTGGGGGTGGGTGGGTAAATACCAGCACTAAATGTTATCAACTTATACATTTGTTATAGGTATTATGGCTATGTGGTCACAGTTTATAATAGAAAAATAACTTGAAAATGTCAGTAGGCCACAAAATGTACATTAATATAATTTTTTTTTCAAGTTACTATAACTTATGATTGCTTAATGAAAAGAATAAACTACAGATCTGTTTAATTTATGCTGCTAGTGAAACATGATTATTTCTATGTTAAGAGTGTCATATTTAGTTCCCTTGCATGTAATATATTTCTTTAAAAGCTTTGTTTTTGTTAGCCAACCAAAGTTCATTCTACTTTTTTTTAAATTAATTCATTAATTTCAGATTATTTTTAATGTTTCCATTAGGCAACAGATCCTGATGCTGGAGTCAATGGTCAGGTTCGTTACAGCCTGGTAAATTTGAACAATATATTCCGCATAACATCTAATGGCAGTATCTATACATCTGTAAAGCTGGATAGAGAAACAAGGGACAATTATGAACTTGTGGTTGAAGCAGCAGATGGAGCAGTAGATCAACGACGTTCCACAATAACATTAACCATTAAAGTTCTAGACATTGATGACAACAGCCCCGTATTTTCCAATGCATCATACTCTGTATCTGTGCCAGAAAATATTGTGCCTGGGACAATTTTTTTACGTGTACAGGTGAGTTACAGAAGATTATTGAAAGGGAGGCTTTAAGCCAGCTTCAGTAATACTTATATATTTTGAACTGTTATGTAGGTCATTTATGCTTATGAATACCATAATAATTTTATAAAATCAATGTTGTGGTATTTGTGTGTATAGTAATATATTTAGTCTACTTTAAATGTGCATATCCTATTTATGTACTTGAAATGAAACACCACACAGTTAAAAATGTAAATGCTTATGCTTTATTTCAGAATTTTCAATGGATGAAATAAAGCACTTATTATTATAATTAATATACTTAATTAAAATCAGATAATATCAGACATATATAGATACAGTTACCTGCCAAGTGTTTATTGCATTATGTATTTGGCAAGTTTATTGTACTAAACTTACACTGAAGCAGTTACAAGAAAGAAGGTAGATAATTAATTTGCAAACAAAAATGCAATTTGTAATACACTTTAAGAAAATAAATACTTTGCTTGACATATGAATACCACAGTTTCATTAAAGAGCTTGTAATATGCGGTCAAATTTATTTTTAACTCCTTAAGGACCAAACTTCTGGAATAAAAGGGAATCATGACATGTCACACAATAAAGTAAAATAATAGGGTTTTAGACATTTCATTCAATGTGAAAATCAATAACCATTATAAAGCCAAAATGATAACATTATTTAGCTTCCCTGTTGTAAGAATATTTATAGGGTAATCAAAATGTTAAAAATAATATTTTTTTAAAATTATCAAAAATTACTCATTTTTATTAAGATCAAAAATATCATGGCACTGTATCCCCTTGTTAAATAAAGCTAGGATTTTGCTCACTATTTGTAACTGCTTTAGACCCTGGAACACTTTTATTAAAGAATGTATATTTCAAACAATAATTCACAAACAAATAAATTATAAAATATATGTATTGTGAACAATAATAATGTAAACATACGTGACAATCAGTGAATATTTGGCTAACTATATGAGGTAGAATATGATAATAAGATTACAATAATCACAGCAAGATAACTTCTAAATCATTATGTCTTGGAATGATGGGATTAGTAGTCAATACCATACATTATCTACCATTAGGGGTCAGTATACATAGCAAGTAATAGTATAGGTTTTAGTACATATGAAAGAATCCGCTTGCTATTAGTAATAACAATATACAGCCAACACTAAATTAATTTAAAAAGAAAGTATACACATTAAACATTTGTATATCACCTCTTGAACTTAACTGATATTGTATGCTTCAACATCAACAAAGATCCCATTGTCCGGCGCTACAATATTTGCTGGTGCTATATAAATAATAAAATAATAATAATAAGGCATATACTACAAAAATGCTAAGGGAATATTTTATATCACAAATACATCAAATCAGACAAGCAACTTAATGTTACTTTATAGTGATCACCATATTTCAAACACAGAGCAATATACAGATACTGTCAGTCAGATCAGATAAGATAAACACAGTCACAGTTTTTAATGAGCTAACTGCTGACTGTAGTTCTCACTAAGTAAACACTTAAACATTGAAAAAACAAGTTTTAATACCTTTGAACAATCTCACACAATTAGTTTATCACATTCTTTCTTTAACATCCAGTGACCAATAAAACTTTAAGCATTAAGATCTTTCTACTACAGTATTTAGCAGTTATCCATATTTAACTAACTGTTATTACAACTTTATGCAACCTCTTCAGTAGCTGGTAACAATTAAGAGTATCTAATATCTCTGGATAATTTGATATGCTAAACTTGGCAATTCACCCTTGAATTAATATAATTTAATAATTTCAACTGCAGTCTAAAATCCTGAATTACATTATTCCCTTTGGCTAAATATGATTCCAACTTTTGGAATCTGTATCAGCATTATCCAGGTATATTTTGTTTTTAGGCATAATTAAAATAAACCAATTAAATTTACCAGTCTTCTGTAGTAATTTATGTTGTGTCCTGGAGATATAATCTAATGGATATATGAGCAGATGTAAGATCAATATGAAGATGTTCAGAGAGGTTGAGATTAAGTAAAGTGTGAGTAGATGGAACAGCCAAGTGAGGCACAGAATTGATCTCGATAACAAAGAAGTTTACAGGGTGTATCAAGGATTCCACAGGAAAAGAGGTGTGTCTCCAGAATGTCTCCCAAGTAGTTGTTCCCCAGAGTTAATGTTTTCTAAAAGTCCTTGTGTAGCAAATTTCTAAAGATTTTTTTTTTGTCTTTTTCACACCCAGCTTTTTAAAGTGACCAATGAGACCCTATGGGTGTGCACTATTATAAAGAGTGTTGACCTAATCCTAATGGTCAATTCATCGCGTTTGACCAATAGATGGCATAATTGTAATATGATTATTTTCATCATAAAATCCAATAAGTACCTTCTCTTAAGGAGATTTAGATGACGAGATTGACTTGAAAAGTTAGCAAGTTTATGACCATTCAATCATGAAGACCTGCCAAAGATCTGCAGCTTTTGATAGACCTTCAGTCGGCTATTAGGGCTGACACATATGCACCTTGATTCAACTTAAGTGTGAATAGGGCTTTGTAGAAATATCTATTAAGTGTAGACTCTTCTCATGTTTTAATTAATTGCTTACAAAATGAGTATATCTTATGAGACATTCCCTCACTAGCTTATCTGTTGCCTGGATTTTGATTACACTTACCATATTGTTTTAAACTATTGATATGTGTATTAGTAATCTCACCAGTGTTCTGTACAATGGCATGAGCACTTCCCTCTTTCTACTGCTAATACCTCTCCCTATTCAACCAAGCATTCTGCTATCATTTCCTGCTGCTCTATTACATTGTCTGCCTACCTTTAAGTCATCTAAAATAATTACCCCTAATTCCTTTCCTCAGATGTTGATGTTAGGACTCTATCAAATATTCTGTATTCTGCCCTTGGGTTTTTGCATCCAAGATGCATTATCTTGCACTTATCCACATTAAATGTCAGTTGCCAAAACTCATTTTTCTACTTCACCTAAATAATTTGTCATTTGGCTTATCCCTCCTGGGACATCAACCCTGTTACATATCTTGGTATAATCAGCAAAAAGACATACCTTACCATCAAGACCTGCAATATCACTAATAAAAATATTAAGGAGACTGGGTCCAAGTACAGATCCCTGAGGTACCCCACTGGCGACAAGACCATGCTTTGAATATACTCAATTGACTATAACCCTCTGTTGCCTGTCAATCAACAACTGCCTTACCCATTCAACAATATTGGAATCCAAACTTAAAGATTGCAGTTTATTGATACGCCTTCTATGTGGAACAGTGTCAAAAGCCTTACTGAAATCTAGGCAAGCAATGTCTACTGCATTAACCTGATTTTAGTTACCCAATCAAAAATCAATAAGATTAGTTTGGCATGATCTCCCTGAAGTAAACTTATGTTGTCTATGATCTTGTCCATGTGATTTTAGATGTTTAACAATCCTATCCTTTAACATGGTTTCTATTACTTTCCCCACTACTGAAGTAAGGCTTACTGGCCTATAGTTGCCCCACTCCTCCCTACTACCTTTCTTGTGAATGGGCACAACATTCGCTAACTTCCATTCTTCTGGGACTACTCCTGTTAACAATGATTTAAATAGAAGAAATAAAATAATAAAGTTGTGCTAATAATATAATAAAAATCTAGTGCTGCTAAAAAGCCAAGTGCATTGTCACTCTTTACACTTAAAACCATGATTAAAAACAAACAGTGATTAGCGCACATAGATATCTATGATTTACCTTTGAAATAAAGATTCTTTGGTAACCACTCTGGTGGAGTTTCTTTTCCTATGTCAAATAAATATAAAAGAAATACACATAGTGTAATCTGTATTTAACATGTATTGATGTGTAAAGATAATCTGCAAACTCACACTTTTCAGAGCCTATTAGAAGTTGGCTCGGGACTTCATCTCATTAAAGAGATATCAGATGAGTTTTTAGCAATCACACTCTCAGGACTCAGAAACTCAATGTTGCTTTAAAACAGGAACTCGAGAGTCCAAAGTGGATATTTATAGGTAAGTATTTGAAAAAAATAAATAAATAAAACAAAAATATAAAAGCACAACACGTTTCAACCTCAGGTGCATGTATTTCATAAAGTAAACATATATTCCTTTATATATCAAACTAATACTTACAAAGCAAATACACATGTAAAAGAAGGGGCTTAGCATTCCCTCCCACTTCCAAATAAGGTCCAGACCGGACATGAACTGCCATCCCCTATATGGCAGCACATCCGGTTTTGGGCAGAGTTCTTATCCCACCCCAACATGTCTGTTCTTTCTTTTTTCCTATTCAGCGTTTCTATCGGTACGTCACGTCCCTTCCTATGACATGCTCCCAGTGTTGTGAGTGATTGTCACTTCTGATGATGCCTTTCCGGAAACTCAATCTGTTGTTCCACCAGACTGAGAGGGGAGGTGACAAGTCTCTTTCTCCATTTTTGAAAAGGGCATCATCGTCCATAGTTCATGTTAAGCAGCATAAAAGCGATACATTAAAAATGGTAAAAAATATATAAAAATTAGTAAGGTTTGTTAATAAAAAAACATACATTAAGAATAGAAACAAATATATACGAATAATGTAAACGCATAAGAAAGTGTGCATTAAAAACAGTGAAAAGAGAGAGGGTGAATTTATCATAAAAGGGAGGATAAAACAATTATATAAAACAGTATGTATATTATAACATAAAATTGAAAACCTATATAATACAATTAATCCCAAAATCTATATTAAGACTCAGGGGAGTTAGGGTTCACATTTCAAAAATCCATTTTGCCTCCTGAGTAGAGTTGAGCGAACTCAAACTGAAAAGTTTGGGTTTGAACCGAACATTACATTTTTTGGACTGCGGACCCGAACACAGACATATCACTGTATGTTCGGGTCGGAGTTCGTCGATTTAATGACGTGTTTTGAAAGGCCGCAGGACATCCAATCAACAAGTGTTTGACTCATGTGCCGTTAGAAGCCATCACAGCCATGCCTACTAATGGCATGGCAGTGATTGGCCTGTGCAGCATGTGACCCAGCCTCTTAGTATTAGTAAATTATGCCCCTACTCGCTATACCGCAAGTAGGGGCGTGTCTATTAAACAGTGAGCAGCTGTGGCTGCTCACTGTTAAAAATAAAATAAATAAAAAATCCCCCCTCCTGAGCCCCCACCCACGACGCGCGAGCGGGGGCTTTTAAACTATTACCACCCCCTGGCCCCGACCCACTGCCCTAAATAACAAAAAGGGGGGGACCTACTGTCCTCCTCCCAGCATCCACCCCTGTGCAGTGGGTGGGGGCCCTAAATAACAATAAGGAGGGACCTACAGTCCTCCCCCCGGCCTCCACCCCTGAGAGGTGGGTGGGGGCCATAAATAAAAATTGGGGGGGACCTAACTTCCCCCAGTTGACTAGGGGTCCCCAAACCCCTAGTCACCCCCCTCCCTCCCAAAAAATACCCCTACCTACCACTCACCCTAAAAATAATGAGGGCGACCCTTGTCTAAATACCTGTTAAAAAAAATAGATTTACCATTTGATGTCTTATTTCTTCTAAAATCTTATTTTTTCAGCCCCCCAAAAATCCAGAATAACCAACTCACAAAAAAAAAAAAAATACATCTTCACCCATGAAGGGCTCCGCACAGACTGAGCTCTGCAGGGCAGGGGAAGGCTTATAAAGTCTTGCCCCGCCCTGCAGTTAGGCTCAGAGCACTCTGATTGGTAGGTTTAAGCCATCCAATCAGAGTGCTCTGACAGGTAAATAAAGAGACTGACAGGTAAGTCTCTACATTTACCTGTCACAGCACTCTGATTGGTTGGTTTGAAATCTGACTCATAACTCTAATTGACTCATAACTCTCTGATTGGTTACTTTGGTTACAATCAGAGAGTTATGAGTCAAATTACACAGCGTGGGAAAATTTCAAAGAACTTTCCCACGCTTTGTAAAATGACAAAGAGCACTGCTTACTGTTTAATAGACATGCCCTTACTCACGGTATAGCAAGTAGGGGCATAATTTACTAATACTAAGTAATCTTTACTTAGTATTAGTAAATTTGTCTGAAAGACCAATTTAGGTCTTTCAGCCTTTTAGTAGATAGCTCCCTAATACCGTGGGAATTAGGGAGTTATCCACTTATTAATTCCTGTCATTACATTGACAGGCTAAGTAACTTACATTTTATATGAATGTATGTTACTTGATTGTTGTAAGTATTGCAAATGCTTACAGCTGAATCCTGGCTATGTTTGTATACTTTTTATTTAAAATTGTATACAATGTAACATTCTTCTTCTTTCACTGGGTAAGTATATTAGTACTTAGGCAATACTGTGCTTCAGAACTTCGTCACTTCAGCACTTTGACACTTCGGAACTTGGGCAACTTCGGAACTTCAGCACTTCGGAAATTCGTATCCCCCTATCTACCCCACTCACCCTTTAACTAAGTACCTGTAAAAAAAAAAAAAATCTTACCATTCAATGTTTTCTTTCTTCTACAGGGAGTGCAGAATTATTAGGCAAGTTGTATTTTTGAGGATTAATTTTATTATTGAACAACAACCATGTTCTCAATGAACCCAAAAAACTCATTAATATCAAAGCTGAATATTTTTGGAAGTAGTTTTTAGTTTGTTTTTAGTTTAGCTATGTTAGGGGGATATCTGTGTGTGCAGGTGACTATTACTGTGCATAATTATTAGGCAACTTAACAAAAAACAAATATATACCTATTTCAATTATTTATTATTACCAGTGAAACCAATATAACATCTCAACATTCACAAATATACATTTCTGACATTCAAAAACAAAACAAAAACAAATCAGTGACCAATATAGCCACCTTTCTTTGCAAGGACACTTAAAAGCCTGCCATCCATGGATTCTGTCAGTGTTTTGATCTGTTCACCATCAATATTGCGTGCAGCAGCAACCACAGCCTCCCAGACACTGTTCAGAGAGGTGTACTGTTTTCCCTCCTTGTAAATCTCACATTTGATGATGGACCACAGGTTCTCAATGGGGTTCAGATCAGGTGAACAAGGAGGCTATGTCATTAGATTTCCTTCTTTTATACCCTTTCTTGCCAGCCACGCTGTGGAGTACTTGGACGCGTGTGATGGAGCATTGTCCTGCATGAAAATCATGTTTTCCTTGAAGGATGCAGACTTCTTCCTGTACCACTGCTTGAAGAAGGTGTCTTCCAGGAACTGGCAGTAGGACTGGGAGTTGAGCTTGACTCCATCCTCAACCTGAAAAGGCCCCACAAGCTCATCCTTGATGATACCAGCCCAAACCAGTACTCCACCTCCACCTTGCTGGCGTCTGAGTCGGACTGGAGCTCTCTGCCCTTTACCAATCCAGCCACGGGCCCATGCATCTGGCCCATCAAGACTCACTCTCATTTCATCAGTCCATAAAACCTTAGAAAAATCAGTCTTGAGATATTTCTTGCCCAGTCTTGACGTTTCAGCTTGTGTGTCTTGTTCAGTGGTGGTCGTCTTTCAGCCTTTCTTACCTTGGCCATGTCTCTGAGTATTGCACACCTTGTGCTTTGGGCACTCCAGTGATGTTGCAGCTCTGAAATATGGCCAAACTGGTGGCAAGTGGCATCGCGGCAGCTGCACGCTTGACTTTTCTCAGTTCATGGGCAGTTATTTTGCGCCTTGGTTTTTCCACACGCTTCTTGCGACCCTGTTGACTATTTTGAATGAAACGCTTGATTGTTCGATGATCACGCTTCAGAAGCTTTGCAATTTTAAGAGTGCTGCATCCCTCTGCAAGATATCTCACTATTTTTGACTTTTCTGAGCCTGTCAAGTCCTTCTTTGACCCATTTTGCCAAAGGAAAGGAAGTTGCCTAATAATTATGCACACCTGATATAGGGTGTTGATGTCATTAGACCACACCCCTTCTCATTACAGAGATGCACATCACCTAATATGCTTAATTGGTAGTAGGCTTTCGAGCCTATACAACTTGGAGTAAGACAACATGCATAAAGAGGATGATGTGGTCAAAATACTCATTTGCCTAATAATTCTGCACTCCCTGTAAAATCTTCTTTTTTCAGCCCCAAAAAAGGCCAAATAAAAAGCCATAATAACCGAGGCAATTATAAAAAAAAAAAAAAAAAATGAGCGCAAAAATTAATAATCCATCTTCACCCATGGAGGGCTCCGTGCAGACTGAGCTCTGCAGGGTGGGGGAAGGCTTATAAAGCCTTGTCCCGCCCTGCAATTAGGCTCAGAGCACTTTGATTGGTCGGTTTAAGCCATCCAATCAGAGTTCTCTGACAGGTAAATGAAGAGACTGACAGGAAAGTCTCTACATTTACCTGTCACAGCACTCTGATGGGTTGGCTTGAAATCCACCAATCAGAGTGCTCTGTGTCATTTTACACAGTGTGGGAAAGTTCTTTGGCATTTTCCCACACTGTGTAAAATGACACAGAGCACTCTAGATCTGTCTATCTTTCTCACTCTGTTTTTTTTTTAAACCTAATTTTTTTTTCTAAACCTAAAGCCTAAATGCTAACTTTTTGTTTTTGTATAGGCATCAATGTAAAAAAATATGTTTTTAATATTTTCTAAGTTGCAAATATATAATCTTTTCTTATAATTTCATACTTTTATAAGTGTGATATCATTGTTTTTTTTTTATACTGCAATCTATCCCCTGTAATGAGGAACTCTACAGGGACTTCATTTTCCAGGGTGCGGGGTCATTAAATATTTATTCTCTGGTTTTGAGGGATACATGGGGATCCTTATTAGTTTTTTGTCTATTTGTTACATAGGTACACATCTTTGTACCCCTCCTGTTAAAAATGGGGATCTTGATTATACAGAGCTGCAGAAAATGTTGTTGTAAAAATTATAATTTTACAATATTTTTACAAATATTAACGCTAAACATCAGAAAAATAATTTTTACCAGTGTGAAGGGAAAGGAAACTGTCCCTTATTCAGAAATCAAAGTTGCTTATAAGCCTTTGTGAGCAATCTGTTAAATGGCAATGCACATTTGGTAATTAAACCCCATTAAGGGTAGATGGAAGAGCTCAACTTAACTTTGGTACCTGAATAGCAGTTCTCCAGTTTACATCTATAGGAAAACTACTGTTCAGCTGCCAGATATAAGCCCCAATAAAGGTGGATTTTTCTAAGAGCCAAAATTAAAGGATCACTATAGTGTCTGGAAAACAAACTCATTTTCCTGCCACTATATCATCCTTAGGGTCCCCCTCCCTTGGCGCTGAAGGGGTTAAAACCCCATCAGCTCCCATGTGGAGCGGAATGCGGATGTGCGGCAAGAGCCACACGCGCATTCAAACAGTCCATAGGAAAGCATTTCTCAATGCTTTCCTATGGACGTCCTGCATGCTGGATGCAAATTTAGCATCCAGCGTCTCAGAAGCGCCTCTAGCGGCTGCCAGGAAGACAGCAACTAAAGGTTGGATTAACCCTTCAATTTAAACATAGCAGTTTCTTTGAAACTGCTATGTTTACATCTGAAAGGTTAAACCTTGGGGGACCTGGCACCCAGACCACTTCATTGAGCTGAAGTAGTCTGGGTGACTATAGTGTCCCTTAAACTCTGGTAACTGAATAGCAGTTCTCCATTTTACATAAATGGGGAACATTGCTATCCAGCTACCAGAGATATGCTTTTTACATATCTTATACTAAAATGTATCCCTGAATGTAATAAATATTTGGAAATGAAAGGATGTGAAGGACAGCTATTGGAATCCTTCTATGATGTAGAACCTCATTCCTCTCCAAAATCAAGAGAACTGATAGCTGTGTTTAATACTATCAAAAGGGAATATGTACTTTAAATGTGTTCTTGTGCATTGCTTTTACATGACCAACTTAGCCTAAAATTATCTATATTTTCAGCTCATGACAAATCAAGCTACTTCAACAGATTTCTAGTTAACCCATTAAGGATAGTTTTTTATACTATTGTGTATCCCAGTTATTCACATGAAACAATCATTTTAGATTGGTTACTGGAAGCTTTCATCTTATTTCCCATATCTCTTACTCTTTGGGCAGTACAATGTGAGCCATAGAAAATTGAATACTGATTAGCAGGTTGTTTAAGTATGAACAATAATGCCTTTATTTGCTAAGTGAATTGTATTTGATTGCAATAAGTTAAAGCTTTTCAATCCCTTGGCTAGGCATATATTTGAATTGTCAAAGTCTTGGAAATGTAATTTAATATTACAGCTCATGGAAAAAAGGACAGATAGGGAGAGAGTATCAGGTTGCTATTGGAAATTGGGGGATAACCCCTAATGCATGATAGATACAAAGAGAGAAAAAAGGAGATACAAGGGAGCCCACTGGGAACAATATTCCAGTCCCGTGGGACTCGAATGTATCAAAAGCAACCCCAACTAAAATAAAATAATAAAATCAACTTTTATTCAATATAGTTAAAAAGTAATAGAATACAAAATATATAGGAAAAATACACCAAATACACCAGCCTAGTGGCTGTGTGTAAAAGCGGAGGGGGGGGGGGAGAGGAGGAGATAGTAATAGAGGAACTAATAGGAGGAGGGCAAATACGATCCTAAGCACAGCTATACTAATATATAAGAAAAAACCTGAATCTAAACAGGTCCAAAATGACCTATCCACTAATATACTATAATGTAGGTAAAAAAGCTGAAGCTCCCCTTATTCCTCCATAGTCCATAACCCCCCACCCCACATCGGCCAAAAAGACTAGAAAGGAAAATAGTTTTCAAAAAATCAAATCTCAGGGGTGGCTAATAGGGGTAAAATATCAAAACTAAAGACTGCTAAATCGTCCCTATAAAGCCCCACCACCCCCGTATGATTCTAGTCCCGACGCGCGTTTCGCCTTACAGGCTCTTCCAGGGGAACCGATCGTGAAGTCGGCGGTCATTCAAATATACCGCCCTCTTCAATGATTGGATAAGATTCTCTCCAATCAACGACTGGGGGGCGGAGCCTAATGCCGTTACCGTACAGCCCAAGATGGCTCGGCAACTGAGAGAATAATGACAAATGTTATAGATATACAATGTTTCAACTCAATAGTGCCAGTAGTTACAGGATAAATGCGAACGGTAAAACAGGGGATTAAGCAAAATAAATTTTACAGACAAAGATTACTTTGTGGCAGATAAAGACAAAGTGATTAAAGATACAAAATCATGATATCAATAATCTTAAAGGTACAGATCGATCCCTACCATGGTGGAACATAATGAAAATAGTCAAAACTATTTTCAAAAAATAATTCAAAAACAATGTGTTAGTGAAAGGGTCCCAAAAGCAAAGGGGTCCTTTCCTCTTCCATGTAAAAACGAATACAGATTCACTAATAAGTAGAGTTTTGTTTGAAAAGTACATAAGGGAATGGGGCATAAAGACAGATTAATACAACTGAACCCTTTTTCAGGTACTGGGTGTAAGTGCGTCCACAGTCCCAAAAAGTCCCAATTTTTTCAAAGGCCAAATTCACATGGAAGGAAAGATTCCCTATGGATACTAAGTGTCAAAAGAAAGGAAGATTGTGATAGTTGCCAACTACTATAAAGAAGGCAACAGGTACCAGATAAAAAAAACCTGTCTTTAAAGTATTTAGACAAATATACATGAAGTGTACTCGGCGCTCCAAATAGAGATATGTCAGTGTAGTGAGGAGAGAAAGCTAGACTGGATGGTGTTGTTTACCCAAGACAGTTGCCATGGGAACTGTTACCAACTAAGAATGAATGAATGGAGTAAAATTAAACTCCTCATTAAGTCCTTTCGGATATAGGGTTTGGAACGAGTAGATCCAGCGGGATTCCGCCTTTAGCAAGGAGACATTAATGTCACCTTTTCTGTGATTTTGAAAAATCTTTTGGATTACCTGAAACTTGAGTGCATTAGGTCTAGAGGCGTGATTGGTACGTACGTGTCTAGCTATTGGTGTATCGGTATGTAAATTCGATATAGAGTTGATATGTTGTAAGACACGTCGGCGTAGTTGTTGGTAGGTTTTGCCTATATACTGTAATCCGCATTCACAAGTTATAAGGTAAATCACATTAGTTGATCCACATTAATAAAGGAGTTGTCCATGATATTTTTGGATGTTATTTTGTTCCATACTGTTTTAGAAGGTACAATGTAATTACAAGCCTTACAATGCCCACATTTATAAAGGCCCTTGGTCTGGAGCCAAGTAGATGTGGTTTGTGTAGGTTTAAGATGACTTTGAGTTAACAGGTCCGCTAAGTTCTTTGCTCTTCGATTTGTCAATAATGGTTTATTGGTAATGGTCTTTGAAGGCATGTTTCATATTGCAATAACGGCCAATTCCGATTCAAAACCTGTAAGGTCTGGTTCCAGTGTTTATCGTATGTCACTATAAGTCTTGTAGATCCCGATTAGAGTTCGGGAATCCTTAGATGGTCTATGTAAGCTCTCTGACCTATCTACAGTTTGGGTTCTCTGATAAGCTTTTTTTAGAATTCTATTTGAATAGCCGAGGCTTTTAAAGCGCTGTCTTAAATCTTTTGCTTCCTTCTCATAGACATCGGGATTCGAACAGTTCCTTTTTGGCTCTTGAAATATTGACCATATGGTATATTGGCTTTCATGTGATGTGGGTGAAAGCTTTGCCAATGGAGCAAGCTGTTTGTTGCCATGGGTTTTCTAAATAGTGCTGTAGATATATGCCCATCGTCTGAAATGCTAATGGTTAGGTCAAGGAACACTAAATGATTTTCATGTATGACATGAGTAAGCTGAAGATTGATTGGTTCTTATTTAGAATGTCCACCATTTGTTTGAACAGTGTAAAGGGACCTAACCAAAAGATTAACACGTCATCAATAAAGCGATACCATTTAAATATTGATGAAGTGTATATCATTGAAGAGGGCGGTATATTTGAATGACTGCCGACTTCACGATCGGTTCCCCTGGAAGAGCCTGTAAGGCGAAACGCGCGTCGGGACTAGAATCATACGGGCGTGGTGGGGCTTTATAGGGACGATTTAGCAGTCTTTAGTTTTGATATTTTACCCCTATTAGCCACCCCTGAGATTTGATTTTTTGAAAACTATTTTCCTTTCTAGTGAATAGATTGTTTTTAGTTGTGCTTAGGATCGTATTTGCCCTCCTCCTATTAGTTCCTCTATTACTATCTCCTCCTCTCCCCCCTTTTACACACAGCCACTAGGCTGGTGTATTTGGTGTATTTTTCATATATATTTTGTATTCTTTTACTTTTTAACCATATTGAATAAAAGTTAGATTTTATTATTTTATTTTAGTCCCACAGGACTGGGAAATTGTTCCCGGTGGGCTCCTTTGTATCTCCTTTTTTCTCACTTTGTAAATATTACAGCTCAGTTAACTAATAAATGTAATTTTTCTCCCAACTTGTTCTTACAAACTGTGTGAATATCATCTATTCTTCTATTGTTTGAAAGTATAAGGACTTTACATTTCCTACTCTGTAACCTGCTCTTTTTCTTCTAAGTTTCAATGGAGTCACCTAACATCAGTCAGCCTTAGGAGATCAAGAGAGGTGAGGTGCAGATCACCCACTGGTGGGAAGTAGAGTTGAGTCACTGCTGTGCTTTATAAAATCACACACTATTATTTTTTTGTTTAAGAACATGCTGTTGATTGACAACTACATTACAATAAATTTATTTTTTATTTTTTCTCATGTGGCCGAAAACAGGCTTAAGAATTGCTTAGGTAAAATAGCTTCTGACTGTCTAGTAACTATTGAGAGGCACTAATCTGCTTTATGTAAAATGTGAAATAGAATATATATATATATATATATATAGTATATAATATAGTATAATAAAAAATATTATTGTTACCTTGTACAAAAAAGTATACAAATAATATAATTAAACATTTGATAGAAAACAAAATCCCACATATATATATACTCCATTTTCAATTCTCTAAACAAAACTGAGCATTCAGATTTTTAGAAGTTTCGTAAAATGAATATGCTCTATGAGAAAATGGGAAATGCAAGTAGGAAAGCATTACAAGACTCTTTTTTTTAATTTTTTTTTTGTGATACTTTTCCTTTAATAGCTGAAACTGACATTTACATGTCTGGTAAGCAATATTTACAAGTATGCGTACAATAAAACTTTAATCATTGTGAGAATATTTTCATATTCATACCCCCTAATGCAAGGTGTTCTAGTCTGTAGTTCATATATGTATGACATCATATGATGACTATAACAGACAATCAAGGTATAAAACACGGCTCAGTCAAAGTCATATTGATCCAAGCAGACCTTTACTACCATGTGAAATAGATAATAATGGTGATGGGAATCACATTTATGCATTTGTGCTGCTAAGGCATGCTCTCTGAGGAAAACAAGTAGAACTTCCTTTGGACTCTCGTACAAGGACCCGGCAAGGTCCATCTCATCTTTCTATATTTGCATTACAAGATGACCTCCAATCATTTTTATGTAATCTTTTTTTTTTTTTTTTTTTTACATTTAAATTACAATTTTATTTTTCCATTTATTTATAATCTTTATGCATTGACAAAGGGGAATCACCCTTAAACATTTGCATACTTATGCATACTGATGCATGTTCTTCAATAAATATTTGTAGCACGTTTGGTGCACACAACAACTGTTTGTACAGCCTTCCCTTTTTTCTTTATTTATCTGATGTTTATTATCTTCAATACAACTAAAATGTAGCTTAAACATGTGCTACCAATTCAATTACCATAATTCCAATACATACAATGTTCTTCTGTTTTATATTTAAGTTCGGCTCTCTTTAAATAAACATCTTTGTTTGAGTGCATTACACTAAGCCCCTAGTAATGTAGATAAAAATGTATGATACTTTTTTTGTTTTGTTTTAGTTTAGAGGATTTTTTTTTTTCGTTGCTGTGAAAAAGTTAATACAACAGTTTAAAATCAATTCTAATCAAGTTGAGAGATTGCAGAAGGCACACTTACTGTTAATGTGACAGCATTTCTGATAAATATCTGCTGAACTGTTTATATTTTCTACTGATCAATGCATTAAAATGACCCCTAACAAAATGAAAAGAAAGGAAAAAAACAAGTGTAAGCATTCAATTCTATTATGGAACTCTCTACAATTCAATATAGATATATTTTTTCTGGTTCACTTATTCTTGCACTTCAGCCCAGTTTATTTGCCAGTTTTGTCTGCTTTGATTTTAATATTGATCTGTTTATTGTGTTTCAGGCAAAAGATGTTGATCTTGGTGCTAATATTTCTTACCGGATAAGATCCAGGGAAGTTCTGCAGCTTTTTGCAATAAACCCTTCAACAGGAGAATTATCTCTTCTGAAAGCCCTTGATTATGAGTCATTTACTGGCATAGAAGCTGCGTACACATTTCTCATTGAGGCCTTTGACATCACAGGAACAATGCCTCCAGGACTTGCTACTGTAACAGTAACAGTAAAGGTAAGGGATGTCTTACCTTATTACCTTAGCTATAGTACTATGCATATGTTTAAGGTAAAATAAATGTATATATAAAAAGTTATCTAGGATTATCCTAAACACAACCTCAAGCAGACCTCAAGCTACGTGTTCTCTTCTGACATTGTAATAATTTAACCTCTGGACATAGTGATTTTTCACTTTGGTATATCATTGCTAATATATACTATAATATAGGTGACTGGCAACAATCAATATGAAATACCAGTTAAGTTGATCAGTGTCATTGTCTGTACATAATCAGCACTTTTTGATTGAATAAATATTAGCATAACATTTATTTGAAGCAAGGGATGCATAGCTGACATACAAACATATCATACCAAAGCAATTTTGTGTATAGATTATTTTGCAGATGAACTTAAACATTAAAATTATAAAACTTTATACCATTTTTATTTTTCCATTTCTTTGTTCCTCCTTGAGAATTGAACAGCTTTGCACAGTATACAGTATCCTTTATCTTGCAATATTTCACACAGGAGCTGAAATGTTAGCATAAAAGCAATAATTATTCCTCCCCCCCACCCCCACACACATAGAAAGAGAAGAACTGGTAAATAAAAAGATTTGAACTGATTTTATACTGAAAAAAAATGAAAACAAAAACATGTATACTCGTTTTTGGAGTTGAAGGGGTTGAGGAGCAAAGGGGACATAAATATTGTGCCTCTGGACATATTTAGGATCTTCTAAATCAGGGGTGCCACTGGCTCTATTCAACATACTGAGTAGTTCCATAATCCTATGTATTGATAAAAGCAGGCATACTCTGGTCACTGACAATCTGCTCACAGCTCCATTCATTTTATTTAACTAGCTGTGTGCAGAAGTCTTCTAGAAGACATGTTTGTTCTGGTTATTCTAGAATCACAAAGGATCAAACATTTATAATTTTTTCTGTAATCTCAAAGCCCCTTGGAATCTGGAATCATTTTATTTTGTGTCTGGCCTGTTTGTTCTCATAAGAGTAAATCACTTTTCCGTTTTGAATGTGGGAGTTTAATATACTTTCTGTGCTATAGCATAACCTGTTAAACTGTGTACTTCTTTGGAAACCTTCACAAAGTTCACAGACATTGGAGCAAGTAATATGATAAACAGGTTGTCTGCTACAGGAATTACTTAAATTAACTGAATGCTACTGGTTAGAAGCGGTAGTTCCCATATAGGATCATGCAAGGTATCACCATTGTCTCTGGATTTGGATCCCAGTTATTGGATATCTAAACAATTTTGACATAAAGAATACTATTCTTAAAGGAACTCTCTGGGCACCACATCACAAAAAAGTCTTGAAAAATATACATACATTTCTCAAGCCATTTTGTGAGTAGGTAGGCACTGATTGGCTGGAAGCATTGGCTGCCCGTTCTTAGCGAATCAGCAACGCCCCTGCCCAGGCAGCCATAATCCTTTTCGGCAAATGTAAAGAAAGCGGTTAGAGAAATCCGGTGTTGGAACACAGACTTTAGGGTTAAATCATATCTGAACGGTTTAACCCATAAAGGTGAACCAGTGCCAGGGAGTCTCCACATGAATGCATAGAAGGAACACAATACACATTTTATCTCTATGTTGTTGTTAAGTATCTGTAATGCAGTTGTTTGCCAGTTGAGTACTTTGCCCACCTTATTATTATTTTGTTTCATGTGTTACTGTAAATGTCAGTGAGAACACCACTCCAATGTGTGAAACCTGCTTAAAAATGAATTACTCTTATGTGAAAGTAGTTTATTGCAATAAGATAGATGATGATAATGTGTAATGACAGCTTATGGTGCATTAAAAGCACTTATACTCTCCTTAAAATTGTTTATGATCTGCACTGACAGAATTTGATTTCAAGACATCACAATTAACTACTGCATTGTAAGAGCCAAATATAACCTGTATATTGAAGCTTTACATATTGTACATATTACTAAGCTGGTCCTGCAAGAAGTAAAACTACTTTAACTTCTTCCCAATCATGAAATTACAATTTTCTGACTAAGAATTTATAAATGTCTTTCTTGCTCAGTCTGCATTGGGTCCCTCCAGTTGGATTGGAAGATCGAGACTGATTGATTTTTTGTGTGTGTGTTCAATTTAAGTCTTTTATTCAGTTTTGTTGGTTTATCATGGGATTCTTCATGACAATTTTTGAATGAAAGAAAGTTCTTTAGTGAAGATTTCAGCTCGTAACTCTTTCTTCTTTTTTTTTTAGGCCAATATTTTTTATATTATTGATGGGGTCTACGTGGGGTCTTTGGGAATAACAGTCACCATTTTTACAGCAACTGATAATGATTAACTCTATAGTGAACAGGAAGATTATTTCCTTGGCTGTTAATCAGTCATATAATTCATCCATGGCCCAGAAGACTGCAAATCTCTTGGACCATCCAGGGGCCATACTTATAGTGATCAGGCCCATGAGACTGGCCATCTCTAGATCTCTCAGGGAGACCTACATATACAGGCCCAGTAGACTGAGAATGTCCCGAGCTCTCCAGGTGCTCTTTATTCATAATCCCCACAGCGGCCCATAACTGAGCCTTTCTGGGGCCATGCCTTTTAATGGTTTCCAGGAGACTAGACCCAGAGTTATTGATAATATTACTCTGTGAGATATAGAGTAATATTATCAATACCTTTGGACCATACAGTTTGGGGGTCTTGCGGGAATCATGGAGAGTCCAAAGCAGCTATATGAGAGATCTCATTCTATGCTTTAAATTGCATGTTCAGTTTGTATAACTTATTTTATTTTTTTACTTTAAGAGCCATGGGATGGCTATGCATATATGCTGCACCATTGAAAGGGTTAATTTTGCTTGGCTATTAAGGCCTTATACCTAGGTGTAGTCGTTATACCATTAAAATAGGTCCTCATGAATCGCAAATGGTATCTTGATTTCTATTTCTGTCTTACTTGCAACTTACTTGTCCTTTATGTCTCTATTTGGTCTTCTGGTATGCTATTGTCATGTGTTCGGCACTCTTTGTGCTGTCATTCCCCTCCACTTATCTATCTAGTCATAACACCATTCTGATGTCCTTTACTACATATACTGATCAGCCACAACATTAAAACCACCTGCCTAAAATCATGTAGGTCCCCCTCATGCTACCAAAATAGCTTTGCTGTATTGAGGCATTGACTTCCCAAGACCTTTGGATGTGTCCTGTAGTATCTGGAACCAGACATTAGCAGCAGATCCTTTGAGTTATGCAAGTTGCGAGGTGGAGCCTCCATAAATCAAATTTGTTAACATCCCACAGATGCTCAACCAGATTGAAATCCAGGGAAGTTATGTTCCTCAAACTATTTTTGAGAATGTTTGCAGTGTGGCAGGGTGCATTATAATTCTGAAAGTGGCCACTGTCATCAGGGAACAACATTGCCATGAAGAGGTATATTTGGTCTGCAACAATCTCTAGATAGGTGTTCCGTGTCAAAGTAACATCCACATGAATACCAAGATCCAAGGTCTACCAACAGAATATTGCCTCTAGCATAGCACTGCCTCCACTAGCCTGCCTTCTTCCCATAGTGTAAACTTCTTCCATCTCTTCCAAAGGGAAATTAAAGTTATTTCCTCTTTTCAGCATTTTTAGACAGATAAAACAGTAATATTTTAAGTTTGATTTCATCATAACCTATACTGTTTTAAGTCATTCAATGGAAAAAGTATGTTTTTTGTCATGCATCATAAAGCTTTATATGTGAATAAATATTCTGCCAAGTTCAAATCCAGTATTAGGCTTTTTTTGTATTACCAATGTTTGACATGCATCAGCTTAAAATTCGTAAGACTTTCAGATTTACTTTTCCAGTGGCACTGGCACTTTTGAGATTTTTCATGAAGATAGAAAGAAAATACGAATGGGATTTTTCAATTCTTTAAAATGTGTTTTTTTATTCTGTTGCATCTTGCAAACCTCCAAGGTGACTGACTTGAACCTGAAAAAATATATCTGATTCTATGTGATTGCCATTTGGTATGTAGCTGCCTGATTATTATAGGATATGTTTGAATAACAGTAACATTCCATTCCTAAAATAAAAAAAATAAAAAATATGTTTATATATACTCCAATAAGACATGCATGCATTTATGCATTTTTTTATTTCAATTAGGGTTATATCAAGCTTCAAAAGCTGCATATCTCTTGTCTGCAATCTTTGCAAGATCTCCTTTTTTCCCCACAGCATAGATTAAAAATCCATGTTGGAGAATACTCCAATCGGAGAATTCTCATTGAGAAGCCTCTTTGCTTGAGCTGAGAGCATGACACGATTGTGGCTTTTCAATGCTCGTCTATGAGGTTAGGCAAGAAGGCAAGCACTAGTACAAAGAGCCTACCACTTTTGTCAGCTCTAAAGAGCTAATGGAAGCGGAGGACAGCCAGGGAGGTGTTTCTACTCCAGTTGTACAAGCTTTATTGCCATATAACGAGTTACAGTGTCAGATGCAACACAATGCATTAACCTATGGTTATATGTTATAGATTTATAATACAGTATGGTCATAAAACATTTTTGGACATATAATACTATAGGAGATATGTCCCACCAAAAACACAAAGTGTGAGTGCAGGGCTAAAAATTGTGTAGGATAACACTTTCCCCTTAAAGCATGTATACATATAAAGAGAAATACAAAACAAAAGAGCAATTGAGAATGTCTGGACAGATGAAACGTGTCTCTGGGGGTGGATCCCAGTGTTTATTATTGATTTTATTTATTTGATATAGTTATTACTTACTTTTTAAAATAATTACTTTTTAATTATGTTCTAATAAATCTTTGATGAAATCAGCAACACTTATTAGTGATTCCTTCCTGCAAACTGCACCCTGGGTTCATAAGAGGGCATTGTCACCCTCTATCTGGGAATAAGTCAGAAAAAGTCATTTATGGGCTCCTCACTAAGGTGAGCAGGAATAATAATGTTTAGTAACTTATTTTCTATCCATATCAAAACAAATGGACCTGAAACAACTCATTATGGAACAATTAGTTTTTTAAAACAGTATTAAAATGTTACATTTTGTAACTGATAACGATTGACAAAAATAAAAAAATCTCATCGTATACAGTGTAAAAGTTGTGCTTTCTATTTAGTTAGTTTTTAAATGCATAAAAGCATGAACTGGGCGATTTTAGGTCACGTACCTTTAGCCTATTTCTAAATATTTTTGCAGCCCATGACATTATAAAATCTACTTTGTGAAATGCATTTAATAATTTTTATTTTCAAATTTCTGCTACTCCCACCCCCATTCACCATCATAAATAGGGCATAGTATATTAAATAGAGCAAAAAAACAAGTCGCAAGAGAGTGCTGAGGATGGACAACAGCTCAATTAGCCTGCCCTTCGGTAGATCCCCGCTCAGTTCTCAAGCTGGTTTTAGCTCATCTTTTGCCATTACAAAGAGAACCAGACCATGCATTTCAGACTGATTCCACCCAAAAGGGCAGAACAGATCCAAAATGCAGACCGTCTCTCTCTGCACGAGAGATGCAGCAACCCCAGACGATCGTTTCAGCCTTGTTAAGCTATGCCTCACTGATGATGCCTATCAGCTATGCCTCTCTTGCAACCTATTTTTTTTTGCTCTTCTTAAGCTTAAAGGGTAATCCAGACATGGGCCCCTTGCTCATGGTGCCTGGAGAGATATCAGCTATGCCTTACTGATGATGCCTAACAAAGCTGAAACAATCGTCTCGGGTTGCT